AGTGAGAAACAGACAGATCCTCAGTTCATTTCTTTGCTTTCAATGATTTCTTAACTAATATTGGCTAATGAAACTAGGCTTAAAACTGTTACCTCATGATAAGCAACGCTAGGATTGATTACAAACTCAATGACTAAGTGAAAATATTCAAAAAATACGCTACAACTTTTCTATATGAAGAGCGATTCTTAGCTTCATTCATTGTTTGGAATTTCAGTGGTTTAATTTAATGAAAATTAACAATACAGTACTATTCACTTCAGAAAAATCAATAAAATATCGATTGTTTCATCTGTAATAACTCTCTTTAGCTCTCAGAGTAGTTTTCATCATCATGTGACAGTGGCTGAAGAGTGATTTGTAGCTATGAAGGAGTGAACAGTGACTTGTTTCGTTCTAGTTAGGGACTCATAAGTAACGAAGTCATGTCAATCTAGGATATATCAGCCTCTTGCAATTCAGCCTATGGAACTGTAGTGTAATTCTTCCCATTTTCCAACTTCTTTTATCTAGGGTTTAATTTGGCCACTAGTGAGTGCCATCGGTGGGCATCTGTCCCTACTTAACTAGCGGTTTAACAAGGTAAGAAAACTATCTTGACTTGGTTCAGTATTCAAATGGAACGATGAATAATTACAGTTCTAAATGCGAATAACATGGTAGCAGTTTAAATTTTCACTGAAGAAAGTTGTCGATGTCAGCCTCACCGTCACCGTGATATAAGAAAGTGAAGTTGATATTCTTCTTGGTGAGTGGCTTGAATGAAGATTCCGGTTACACTGAAAATGTTAGGATAGTAAATTTATCTTGCAAAATCATTTGAAGGCGTAAGTTTATTTTAGTTTGCCTTTTGTGGGGATTTTATTTTTTAAGGTACTATTCATCCCTGGTCGATATCAGTTGCAGAACCACCGCAGACCTCAATGCACAGGATAGGTGCTTCGTTCTGCTCTGGGTTTCCTCAAAAGTGCGTATGCATGACCCTTCCCCCAGGAAGTCCAACCTAGGACCTTAAGGCTCCGTGGGCGGTACCTTACCAGTTAAACACTGGGTTAGAACCGCCAGACTGAATGCATTGCTCCGGTATCGGCTAGTTTCAAGGCAGATGTTTATGTACTTGGCTACGAGTTATGAAGGTTCCTGATGTTACTTAGCTGTGCAGGTCAGTCCAGTCAGGGAGCATTCCGAAGGATTTATAGCCATCTCTTGGGCAGCGGGTATCAGTTGTTATTTGATGCTTGTAATTCCTCATTGCAAGACAGGGTTGAACTGCTCAACCTCTGTTTGCAGATGGGCTTCTATGTGGATGCCTCGACACTACCCGATTACCCATTATGTTCGTATCTAATTGGTGGTTAGTAGTGGGACCAGGAAGTAGAATGTACCGGCAACTGATTTCAGTGCTTATCATTCTTGAATAGTTCTTGAAAGGTCGTACAACTTGTAACATCATACATGCGAAATACAGATTATCTTTCTTTCCTGTCAGTCATTTTAGCAATGTTGTTACTATCATGTAATAGCCAACAATGAATATACATCATAGTTATTGTGTATCAAAAGTTAGTTGGTTGGGGGTAATCGGTAGTAAGCTCTGTTGGACTTAGATTTCAGACTTGTTGGCAGTCGGCAGCAAGGTGTATCTGTAGCTTCTACGGAATTGACATCACCTCCTCGCTCGATGGACACACTACAACAGATGGTCGATAGAATTCGGTTAATACTCAGGACTACAAAAAATGAAATTGGTTGCTCTCCAATGACCAATAAGTAAGTGTAAATGATACTTTATCACTGCATGCTATTTCAAATTAACAACCATCTCTGGAATTACATTCCACATCACTACCCAAGTCCCTTACTATGTTATACTTTAGTTTACTTATCATCATATACATCATTTTACACTCCTTTGACAGCATTTGACTCTTATTCCACCACATTTGAAATCACATTATTCCTCATTCAATGACCCACTTCCTATTTCTTCCACTTGAACAAATCTTACCACCAACACTAATTGTATCATATATCTATTGACTGAGAAATTCTTTTTCCTGTATTCCTCTAAAATTTTATTGATTAAAAGATACAACTGCACAGCTTGATAATGAAGTCATTGAAAAGAAATATTATATTATCATTGTATCCTTTTAGTAATGGAATCTTTCGAATTGTTCTACCTCTGTTGACAGATGGGCTCATGTGAGGACGCCAAGATATTACTGAATTTTCATGATGTTATATTTACCCTGATGACTAGCAGTGGAATGCAAGACGTGCGTTTCGTTCTGCCTTGGACTCGTCAGCTGAATGTACCTGCACCCCAATGAGTGATGATGCTCCCACTTGGACTCGAATCCAGAGCCCATTGTTCTTAATGTAAAAAAAGTCGCTCACTAAGCCACAGGTCGAGAGATTTGACCCTGTATTACAGCGAAAAAAAATGCAAGTGTCAAATAACAACTGATACCCGTTGGGATGCAGGTACATTTTGCTGATGAGTGAGTCCTAATCAGGATGGAACACACGTCCTGGATTCCGTTGTTTGCCACCAAGATCAATATTGAATCTCTAGCAGTCTCTTGTTCAAATAAAAACTCAGTTAAAGGAAGAAAACTGTCATCTGCCAACCAATTGAAATGAGCTAAAAAATCAATAATCGAGCAGTGGTAGTTATACATTTGACAAATTTATTTCAACTGATATTTCGTTCCACTGTGATCCAAGAGGATTCCAGATAAAAAGAAAATGGTTGAGGCATGAAATTTTTTACCTCAACCTTAAACTTGATAGCATCTAACTTCAGGAAAAAAACAGCAGCTAAATATTCATGTAACCACTGAGGTTACTTCCAATGATGCTTGCAAACTGGCTGATGCATCAGGCCCTACAACAACTTCGGGTTTATGAGCTACTATTATCCACATGACTTAGACTGTCAAAATGATTCATAAAGTATTTACTTAAAGGTAATTATCAGAGAAAACAAGAAGTTCAGTGAAGATATCCCTTCTGGCAATTTTATTCTCCATATCTGTATACAATCGCAGTTTATACGTTTTTCCTTAAATATACTTCATAGTTACAAGAATCATAAAATTCAAGCTAGTGACAAACATCAAGCTGAATGAAGATTGCAACCTTGAAAGTATTGATTTTATTGATCTATTAGCTAATGTTGGACATATATTTTGAAAAATTAGCTGCGTAGACCACAACTTGTCAGCGGAATAAATGGAAATTTTATCAACATAATAATATATGCCCGTGTCGCGAATCAAATACTTAGTGTGTATACGTCATTGGTTTTTGCAACTCCTTGCAAGAACTGGCACGGAATCATGCTCCACTCCTGTTCACACCAAGTGAAATATTAAGCCAGTTCATCCTCGAGAGACTGAAAAATGCTCTGGATCTAAAATTACGACCGGAACAGGCTGGCTGGCTGGCTTTAGGAAAAACAAATCATATGTAGATCAAATTGTAACGCTACGCTGTGCATTATCGTAGAATAGAATGGCAGTCAACTCTCTACGTCAACTTCGTGGATTTTGAAAAGGCACTCGATAGCCTCGACTGAGAAGTAATTTAGAAGCTGCTTCAACACTGCAGAGTTCCACGAACCTTTACCGAACCCGTTCAAAAGCTGTGTGTTATGTCACGACCCTAGATGTCAAGTGATTCACAATGGAAAGATCAGTGATGCCTTTGAAGTGAAGTCAGGTTTACAGGTAAGACAAAGTTGCCACCTACTATCACCAATCATCTTCCTCAGTGTGGTCGACTCGATTGCACTGGACTGGATCATGCAACAAACGGTGAGGAACGAGAAGACGGGCATACTCTGTTTGACTGATGAAAAGACTAGAAGATTTGGATTTCACCGATGATGATTCATGTCTAATGTCATATGTCGCACAAACGTGAAGATCTAAAGGCAAAAACTAACAAGTTGGCAGAAGAGGCAGGGCAGTGAAGAAAGGACTTCCTAACCAGATATGCCAAACACGGTTCCATATTAACATGTCATTGACAACACTTAAGTACTACTAATTTGAATGGTTTGGAATTCTTCTTTGAGGTCATATCATGAAATGAACTTACAGGTAGTCGTCGTATGTTCAAATATGACCAACAATATCTAAGTGATTCTATGGTAATAGTGAATAGTGGCTAGTAGTGGAGTCCAAGATGGGCATTTCATCTTGTTTGAAACTTACTCATCATTTGGATGTTCCTGCCCCCTACCTTATCCTACTATGAATCAAAAATTATCACTCACTGTAAGGCAGGTACTTCCATCTGACGAATTCCAAATAGAACGAAGTGTGCATTCTACATTTCAATGCTATCAATGCATCTACGCAACAGCTCATATACCAATAGAGACCGATCAATTCGATCCAATCAACGACAAAGTAATATAAGCAACAACATAATATTGTATAGTGATTGATTTAAAGTCAACTATCACTATGAATAGCAAGTAAGAACTTTATTATGTAGGCAGGCATAAGTTTTCGTGAGAGACCACATACAGTATTAGCCAAAGAAAACAAGGCAGTTTCAATATTCAATTTTTTGTGTTATTTTTGTTTATTGATAACTAACTTGTAACCTGAACAAATAAAAGGAAAGTATTGTTGTTATTATTATTACTGTTATTATTATTTTCATTAAAAGTAGTAGTAACTTATTAACACTAATGAACAAAACACATAAATGATATTAAATAAATACGCACTATAGTACATACAATATTTTGATTGAACATTGAACAATTTGTATTACTGCACATTATATTTGTTTATATTTGTAGGCGATTTTGAAATAATTTTTCATATTCAATAGACAGAACAATATTTCATATTGCGAAGGAATTAAGAACTAAACAAAATGAAAGACATTAGTAGAAATGAATTCATGAGTTGATAATAAGGGATATAAAGTAAAGAAAGTAGTAGAGTCAATTTCAGATTGTCTACATTTTTTTTTCTTTAAGATGAACCGAATTGTTGTTGCCATTCTAAATACTTTTCAGCAAGTTGTCTAGCTGATGGCATTGTTGATGCTATAGCTTCTTTGACATCTTCAGTTGTAATTGGATCAAGATTTATGTGTGTTTGAGGAAGATCTACAAAGTAATTTCAAAACACAATTTGTAATAGATCAATAGATGTAATTATTTATCATAAGTAGGTGAAATGTGGTTGTGAAAATCTACTATAAAAATCAGTTGTGGAACACTTAAATGAGGCTCAGTGACCGAATAGTTAACGCGTTCGCTAGCTGGCTCGAGGGTGGGTACTGTTGACAACGAAACAACTGTCAAGTCTTCTTAGGTTTTCAATGGTTCTCCAACTGATATACGTCTTCGATGAATACTACCTTGAAAAAAGGTTACTTAAAGATTTTGTAATTTAGGCATAGCTATACTCTTATTACAGTCTCATCTACTGGCGCCTTAATTTCGGAATAAAATATACAAACAAACAGGAGTTGTCATGGGATAGTGAGGGGGGATTGGCGATGTCCGATTGGAGTATAAAAAGAAAGAAAGATGGGAGTTTAGACAGTAGTGTCTATAGAAAACTTTCACACTCAAATAGTAACTTACACTTCAAATCATTTCACCCTATAACTCTATAATCCCACGTCTATATGGACTACCGAAGATACATAAAGCGGGATTACCTCTTCGTCCGATCCTCGATATGGCTGGTTCTCCCTATCACCGAACTGCTCAATGGTTAGCTGAAATTCTGGAACCTGTTAGAAGGCAAGTATCGAGTTTTTCTATCCGTGATACATTTCAGTTTGTTGAGGGTATTAAGGATTTTAATGCTCTAAACAAGATGATGTTTTCATTAGACGTCACTTCATTGTTCACGAGTGTGCCACTCACCGAAACTGTCTGTTATGTATGTGACTATATTGATGCACATAATTTAGACGTAGGACTACCAACGAGCTGCTTGAAAGAGCTTTTGTTGAGGTGCACATTTAATGTCCAATTCAGTTTCAATAATGAAATCTATAGACAGAAAGATGGAATTGCGATGGGGTCACCATTGGGACCACTGCTAGCAGATTTCTTCATGTCGAAACTAGAAAATTCACAACTTCGTCAAACTATTGATAGCTTTGACTTTTATAGAAGATATATGGACGACACGTTTGTTATTTGCGACAAAAATGTAGACCTCGACGATGTGCTTCGTTCATTCAATGAATGTCATCAAGCCCTCAAGTTTACTATAGAGAAGGAATCAGAATCAACTATTCCTTTTCTTGATGTGCTTCTCACCCGACGTCAGAATGGATACCTTAAAAGATCCATCTACAGAAAACCAACGTGGAACGGACAACTAACTAATTTTTATAGTTGGGTGCCCATCAACAGAAAAAGAAATCTTATTCACTCTCTTTGCTATCGAATAAGAAGTATCTGTAGTGACGATTGTATCGACGAAGAGCTATCTTTTTAAAAAGCATACTTGTCGAAAACGGTTACCCTAGCCGTTTTATTGATAAAAATATGCGGGAAAGAAACACTAAACCAGTCATCCACTCGGTCTCAAAGAAAAGATTGTTTATGAGCCTAGAGTTTAAAGGAGACCTAGCATCGGATGTACTGAAGAATCGTCTTACCAGATCAATCAATAGGACTTTCTTCGCAGCAAGACTCCAGTTGACTTTTACCAGCCGCAACCTATTCTCCACCTGCGTCAAAGACAAGCTTCCTCGTTTGGCCGCCTCTATGTGCATCTACCAGTTCACCTGCTCTTGTGGAGCAAGGTACATCGGCCGTAGCCAGAGAATGCTTTCTACACGTATACGAGAACATGTTCCTGCTTGGTTTTATAAAGGTGAAAGAAAGTCTGTTAGAAGTTCGATTCTAGAACATTTGATTGACTTCCATCACACAACAAATCCAGACGATGACTTTGAAATTATTTATCAAATTCGCCCAAACCTCCCACGTTCTCTTCGTTTTCAACTCCTTAAAACAGCGGAGGCTTTAGCTATTCATGAACTAAGACCTGATCTGTGTGTACAAAAGAAGTATGTGCAGTCACTGTCTTTATCATGGCCATAACATTTTCCCACCCCATTAGCTCCCCCTCCCACTTTGTTAATTTAACCTTTGTATCCTTCCTTTATCACTATTATTGTTATTATAATCGCCTTCACTTCAACTAGTTTCCGGTGTTGTTTCACTTAATTGTCTTAATCCTTTTAGAAAACATTGACTTCATCTTGTCCAATTTGTCTAATGCCATTACATAATACTTAATTGATTTACCATTTTCAACAATTTTTTCACCCCTTTCTGAGTTATATACTCTCTATGTACCATTCCATATATTACATAATCTATTTGTTATCATTCGCACTTCAATTGTTATTATAATCATAAATGCCTATGTCATCACCCGCTCTATTATTATTGTCATCACCATATAGTGTTTAGTTTTCCTCACAGGATATAATTTTTTCCAAATACCATATATATACGATTGTACAGCTTGAAAATAAATTCGTTGAAAAGAGTCTCTTCGCTGAATACCTTGTTCTTAATTTCACCCTATGTCAGTTAAAGTTGGCTTAGAAAAGTGTCTGAGTAACAGAGCCGGAAAACTCAGTAGTAAAACAAGAAACCATATACATTAAGGACTCCTTACTCATCAACAATTATCCTCCTAACTTAACTGATTCATTTCTTAGGAATTCTAAGAAAAATGTGACTAATATTATTAACACAGGTGTTAATAGTAGTAATAAATAAGACTGTTCATAGTAATACTGGCAGAAACTGTGAAGACAGAATTGAAAACTTCTATAATATTGCCATATAAAGAAGGAGCTTCAGAGAAATCACATGGGTTTCTCAATGAGGCTGGTTGGGACTTGAGTGTGGCATTTCAGCCTACCAACTCACTCAGAAATAAGCTATGTGGGTTAAAAGATTCTATTGATCCAAATAAGCAGAATAACTAAGTTTAACAAATCTCTTGCAACGATTATGAGGTTAAATACATAAGTCATACTAGTTGATCAGTCAGGGTCATGGCTCCATAAAACAGTCACTTACTAAAAGGTGAAGAGTTCCAGTTTCTGATGAAGGAGTGATTTAAACTTAATTTGGCTAATTCACTTCAGTAACGCAAAAATTCCCATTTAAACACATTTAGTAAAACAAATAGTGTGAGCGAAGAAATATTTCTTTTCAACTAGTTCCTCATCAGTGGCTCTACACTAACATATAGCATTTTCATAACGTAAAATTACATACTAATCTAGTGGCGAGAGTTATTTAATGAAAGGTTATCAATCTCAAAGTATCAAGAAGGTGATAATTGATCAGGTAATTAAGACAATTAACTAAAGCATAGATTAATTATAGTAGAAAGATTTTGTGAAATTTTAAACAGGTTGCTACGTAGTAATGATGAACAGTGGCTAGCAGTGGAATCCAGGATGCGCATTTCGTCTTATTTGGGATTCACTGCTCAGCTGGATGTACCTGTCTCCCAGTGAGTGATGTTATTCCCACAGGAGACTGATCAATTCGGTACAATCAACGACGGTACCATATAAAAACAATTATACTAAAAACCATACCCGTCGTACAAGAAGTGAATATCGTGGCTCGATGGTGTAGCTGATAACGCTCTGTCGTTTGAGGCGATCGCCCCCGAGTCTGAGTCCTGGTGGGAACAACATTACTGGGCACTGGGAAGCAGGTACATCCAGCTGACCAGTGAGTCCCAAATAGGAGGAAATGCGCATCCTGGATTCCACCGCTAGACACTGTCGATCATTACTATACACAGTTAAAAGACAGGCAACATCGAGGCATCCGCACAGGATCCCAACAGAGAATGATCAATTCAGTCCAATCAACGACGATTTAACACAAGCAACAACACTAAGGTCCTTACATAATTGGTATTTTGTATAGTGGTAACTAACTGTTACGTAAAGTGGTAAATTGTTGACGGTTATTAGAGAGAGTAGGGGGAGAGCAAGACGCCTAAAACTGTAGTAATAATAATGATACCAATAATAGAGCTAATAAAAATATTAGTTATAATCAATTGTTGGATGAATGAAATGAAGGGTCTTGTTGTAATAAATAAGCTATACAAGTCAAAGAAAGAGGCTGTACGAATTTCTTCTGAACACACAGATTTGGCTTGCTTAGGTGGATTTCTATGCTTTCTGCTGCATGTAAAAGACGAACTCGTAGAGGATGGGTGAGGTTAGAAGGAATGTGATAAATAACTTTAAAGGCATTGTGAATGTTAACTCAGTGGCCGGTGTCAATCGGATGAGAGAGTATTGAGCTTCATATCAATCTGGTTTCCCCCTTACTTAGCCATGAAGGATGATGCTCGGTGATTCGACGACGGACTTGCCTAACTGTATGTCCAATGTAACTAGCTTCACAGGAGCAATTGAACTGGTAAATGCATATAGAAGAGGAGAAGTCAGGTAGTCTGTCTTTAGTTCACGTGGTCATCATCGGCCAACTGTAGAATACACAACATAACTTTGCGGCATCAAATAATCCTCTAATGGCATTTCTTAAGCGCAGTGCCACAATTTCATTGATGATGTCACCTTGAAATTGTAGTCTTAGAAACAATGGTCTCTTGGAGACTGTAGGTGTTCTGGTTTTCATATTAGACGTGTCCATACTTTTAGGCAGAAACGTTTCCGAATATCCATTACTACTGAATGGATTATGGATAATTTGAAGCTCTTCGTCGAAAGTATCATTTGAACAGATGAGTCTAACCCGATAGACCAAACATTTAACTAGATTTCATTTATATTGCAAGGGAACTAAATTCAAGAAGTGGGTGTATTGACCTGTTGACGTTGGTTTCTGATATACACCTCATTTTATAGTTCCATCCACCTTCCTTGTCAATAGAACATCTAAGAAGGTGATGCTGTCATCACTTTCTATCTCAATGGTGAATATTATCGCTAGATGGACGCTATTGAATTTATCTAGTATAAACCTTGCATCATCTGTATAACGGCAGTAAAATTCTAACTCGCTTATGATACTTTTCAGATGGTCATTTTCTAATTTCGCTAATAAAAAAATCCTCTAAGATTGCGCCTAGTGGTGACCGTATAACGACACTATCTTACTGTCTATAGAATTTTCTTATTGAAGAGAAAGTGTACATTCATTGTACATCGGTAAAAGAAGCTCTTTCAAGATGGATGCCATAATTCCTATTTCTATATTTCTCTTTACCAATGTAGAGCTATTGATAAGGAACTAATTGAAAGGAATTATTTCTTCGTTAACATTGTTCGTTTTACTTATTCACTTCATATTCATAAATAATATTTCTTTTACAATCCTTCTTTAACTTAAAATATTAATGTATAGGACAAAAAATTTTTATAAAATACATAGAAGGAAGTACAATATATCATAAGAAATATAACTTACTTTCATTGGAGCAATTCTCTAAAATGTCAAATATTTTTCTTACAACTCTCATTGCTGCCTCTTTACAAACTAATCGTATATCTGAACCAGAATAACCTTCTGTTAACTAAAATTAAATAATTTATTTTTTGAGGGGGTTGTGGAGATTTAGAAATATTTCAAGTTGTTATTCATCATAGACTGACATCAGTTGGAGCAACAAAGGAAACCTGGGAGCACTGGACAGCTGTTTCGTCCGACTAGCATGGGACTCCTCAGCAGTGCGCACCCACCAGCGATCGAACCCGCGACCTTCAGGTTCCGCAGCCAGCGCGTTACCATTGAGCCACTGGGTCAGAATCCAATGCTCCATATTTCCAACTTCTGTTAGCTCACGATATAGCGCAAACCGCTACCCAATGTCATCGTTGAGTATTTGTCCTCATGACCATCAGGCTTTGACTCCACCGTGGATGCGCACTGTTGAGGAGTCCCATACTAGGACGAAACAGCTGTCCAGTGCTCCCAGGTTTCCTTTGTTTCTCCAACTGATGTCAGTCTTCGATGAATAACAACTTTAAATAATTTATTTTTATTATTTGTATTACAAAGTTTTAAAAATAATAAAATCAGAATATTAAATAACATTCCAGCTAGTTTCCGACAAAAATGATCTCAGTATTTCTTTACTTGGTTAAATTTTCATCGGAACTTCTAAAATTTCATTGCAAAGTAACTCATCATTGGACACTAAACAATGTGTGGGTGCTGACTGTTGAGTATTCGCATACTGGGACGAAACATCAACCCAGTGCTCCCAAGTTTTTATTGATTCTCCAACTTATGTCAGTCGATGATGAATATCAACCTGAAGTCAATAAATGAATCCCTACAAACCTCCAAATTCAACTGACTATCATATAGGTTGGAATCCAGTAGTCGATATTTTCAACTTCCGTCAATTCATGATATACCATGACCCTCATCTAATACCGACGTCGAGTAATAGTCCTCACATTCGAATCGGTTGGCCCAATCGGTCACAAAATCCCATCGGAACTTCTTAAATTCCATTGCAAAACAACTCATTATTACCCACTACAGTGGGTGGGTGCTGACTGATGAGGATTCGCATACTGGAACGAAACAGCAATCCAGTGCACCCACGTTACTACTGGTTCTCCAACTGATGACAATTCATAATGAATATCAACCTGAAGTCAATAAATGAATCCCTACAAATCTCCAAGTTGAATTGACTATCATATTGGTCAAAAATATCACTATCATAATACAAGTTCATTCACTTCGACATTTTGTAGTACATAGTGTGGAGTTTCAGATTGACTTCATTAAGAAGCCTTGGCAAACATGTTCTCATAATATTGCAGCATTCACCAACTAAAACTACACCTCAAGGAAAACTCATTCTAAATGTAGAGATTTATAAATAACATAAGAATGATTTAAGTAGTACATACACTTAAGTAGTTTACCTACAGAGCGGTCATTCTAAACTAACAAGTAATCGCTTCAAATTACTGTTAAGTGTACAGGCTATATAACTTGAGAGAAAAACATTGCTGTTATGAAACTTGAGAGGTGAATGATTGAATAACTTGATGTAAACTATGACTTAGTTATTTCAATTTCTTCTCGACGTTGTCTTTTCCTTCTTCATTAGTAATCATGATATCATAACTGAGAACATCATATTTCTAATCGACTCAAGTATCTTACTCAGTCAGTCTCAAAATAGATTGAGTGTTGTAATTATGTTCGAAGTTTCATTTGACTGTTTAAGGAGCAGTATGAGGGTGTAATAAAGAAAACAATTACTAATGAAATAAGAATGAACCATATGAAGATGAGAAGGAGTAAAACTTGGCCACTGTGATGGATTGTAATTTCATTTCAGTCTGTTTATTAGAAATATCACATAGAGGAACAGTTTCATTCACTGGATAACCATTTGGGGATAATTGATTGTCCATTTCTAGGTCAGTGCAAAATCATTTCTATCACTGAAAGTGTTTAGTGTTGATTTGATAAACAAAGATTCAGTCTGTTAAATTATTAGTTCCGCAGTGTTAGTCATACATTAGATAAGCTAAATGTTGAATGGTTGAAGCAATATGAAGACCATTTGAACGGTTTAGTGTCGATGAGCTTATGGGGATGTGAAGTTCACTTATTCAAAACTTATCGATACTCACATTTCATTTAAACATCAGTCATCATAAGGATTTAAGTAGAGCAATATTTGTCTTTATCTCCGATTTATTAACAATAATGTTCATATATAATTAATTCTTTAATATTGGTCATTCCTGCAAGACAAACCGTAGAGTAAAGCTTGGACACTGTGGTAGAATTCAATTCCATATTAAATTTGATTATTTGATATAGCCAGCACATAGTGAGTGATGTAGTATTATATACTGGATAACTTTTCAAGCCTAAATTATCGCTGCTCATAATCATATCAGTGTAATCACACTCCTTTCGATATCTCATTTTTATAGTTCTGTCACTCACTTCATATTCTATGCTTTTATTATTTATTATTTGTCCCTTAGGTTCCTAGGGGAACATACAGCTTCAGTAGCACGTTGTCATTCCACTCTCTTCTCTGCAAACTTTTGAACCTGACGCCACGATAGCCCACAAGCTCTCATTTCCTCCTCACACAATGTCCTCCATATCAGCCTCAGCTGGGACGCCCAACTCGTAGCTTCCTATCTGGGTTCCACTCGAGTGCCTGTTCTGGTGTGTGATGTCCCCAGGCGGCCTTCTTAGTGTATGCCCAATCCATCTCCACCTCCTTCCGGTGCATAATTGTTGAGCGATGGGTTCTTGGTTGGTTCGTTGGCAGACCAGAATTCGTCGTTGCTTATTTTTTCTGGCCATATGATTTTCAATAACGAACATGGGCAGTTGTTGATGAATGTCTGTAGTTTGTTGGAAAAGCCTTTCGTAACGCGCCAAGTCTCTGAACCATATAGAAGCACTGATTTGACGTTGGTGTTGAAAATCATTATCTTGTTCACGCTTTGTGCCAAGTGCAGTACAGAAGATCTTCACACTGGTTTCAGGCTAATGAACGCCTGTCTTGCTTTTCTGATTCTGACTCTGACATCCTCGTCTGTGCCGCCTGTAGTTGAAACAGTGCTGTGTAGATAGGTGATGGAGGCTAATTCCTTTAAGTTTCTTCCATTGATGGTGATTGAAGCTTTCTGTTGCTGGTGGTGGTGTTGTTGGTTGAGTATCTTCACCACCTCTGTCTTCTCTATATTCACTTGAAACCCCGTCTTCGCTGCCCTGCCTCTTCTGCCAACTTGTTAGTTTTTGCCTGTACATCTTCGAGTTTGTGCGATATCAGACATAAGTCATCGGCGAAATCCAAGTCTTCCAGGTTCTTTTCCGCAGTCCACCGTATCCCCTTCTTCTCGCTCGCCCTATGTTTGTTGAATGATCCAGTCGGCCACAATCAGGAAAATGATGGGTGATAGTAGGCGGCAGCCTTGTCTTACTCCTGTCTTCACTTCAGAAGCATCACTGAGCTTCCCATTGTGAATTACTTGGCATGTGGCGTCTTCATATAGCTGTTGAATGTGGTTGATAAAGGTTTGTGGTATTCCGTAGTATTGAGGCAGTTTCCAAATTACCTCTTGGTTGACGCTGTCGAAGGCCTTTTCAAAGTCGATGAAGTTGACGTAGAGATTCGACTGCCATTCTACACTATTCTTTGCTTTTACTGGTAGCAAAATTTCCCACATCTCTGGTATAGATATTGTGCCATTTCTATTACATGTGTTGAGTGTTGGCTGATTCGATGAATAAAGACTCGGCAATCAACCTCTCTCCACCTAATTATCTTGGACTTAAGCACAATGGTTTCATCCATTGTGTGGTGGTGTGTGAATAGATACATTACCATAGCCGAGTTTTTTTTCTAGACTTCTGATACTATTGGGGTACATAATTCTATATTCACTTAAATCCCTATGTCCCGATAATCTAACCGGGCCCATTCGGCTAGTTCGACTTATCTACTTAACCTCATAGGTATTACTGCGTGGAATTTGGTAGATTAGATTACTTTGCCTAATTGTGTCTATTAGATTCATAAACTGAAAAAGTTTATTTAAGAGTGAGTTGGTAGATTTTAATGTCAAGTTTGTTGAGAGTCCTATGTATAGAATCTTATGTCCCTTACTTATAGGATGACACAATGAATTGCTTACTGCTTGTGTTGTTGCTATTATTCATACTCGTGTTACTGTTATTATTTTGTCGATGTATTCCTAAAAATTTCTTAATAAACTATACAAGATAACTATTAATTATTAGCGCTACTTTTATGTGCTTCAGTTCCTTGTTTAGGTCCTTGCACTTGTTAGTCAATTTTCTAGCTCTATCATTTAGACATTTGACTAAACTTGCCTTCCCTGATTGACATTAGATGAGATGACATGCAGTCTAGATACCTGTTATGATGTGTCAGTTTTCTGTAGATGGTAGTATCTAAACCACCGTCTATCCTTCCTTTTATTTTGCAATCCAACATAGGATAGTTCGCCTTGTTCATTTCCTACCTCTTAAGTGAATTGGATTCCGTCTGCTACTGACATTATATGTGTGAAGAAATTGTCGATGTATGGAAAATTTCACTACCAATAAAAACAAAGAATATGAGGTGGGTGACAGAACTGTAAAAAAATCAAATATCTAAAGGTGTGTATTATATTACACTGATATGATTATGAGCAGTGATAATTTATGCTCGAAACGTCATCAAGTTAAAAATCAAACAAACAAATCTAATATGTATTAATGATGGATCGTGGATAGCAGTGGAATCCAGGATGCGCATTTCGTTCTATTTGGGACTCACTGGTCAGCTGGATGTACCTGCTTCCCAGTGCCCAGTAATGTTGTTCCCACCGGGACTCAGACTCGAGAGCAATCACTTCAAACGCCGGCGCGTTATCCACCACACCACCGAGCCACGATATCCACTTCTTGTGCGACGGGTGTGGTTTTTAGTATAAGGGTTTTTATATGATACCGTCGTTGATTGGACCGAATCGATGGGTCTGATGAGTCCCAAATAGGACAAAATGGGCATCCTGGATTCGACTGCTAGCCACGACCCATCATTAATACAATTAGAAGGCAGGCAATATCGAGGCGTCCGCACAGGGGCCCATATGCCAATAGAGACCGATCAATTCGATCTAATCAATGACGGTATCACATAAAAACCCTTATACTAAATCTGATATGAAACAAATCAGACAGTATAGATAGTTTTTAACAACAAAGTAGAACTAAGATGGAGGAACATGATTCTTATTAGAAATCAGCTTTGAATTTAACTTTTACATGGGATAAATGATACTCAGAACTATAAATACCAAGAGTCAGGAGTTCATACATTCTTAACCCCATAGCCACAATATTCATTATCATAAAAGTCAATAGAGAAAAACTACGGTGAAACTACACCATACGACCACATCAAATTGGTGTATATGATGTGGGATAGGATTAAAGAACAACGGTGTCTGTTGCTGATTAGTGATGTTAGCTTAAAATAAAACCACTTTCTACAACGCACTACTTAATGATTTTTAAAAATCGAATGAAATTTCTACGAACTACTTATAAGTAGTAAACCGTGAACGATAAAGAATCGAGTATTCATGCTGCTGATTTCGTTATCTTTAAACCAATTCATATATGAAGAATTTTTTAATTGGATAACTTGTAGAAATCTTCCACCATATTTTTATAACTTGTTACATAGGGAATTACTTACATGGAATTCAATGCTCAATAATCCCGCCATTTATATATCAAGCTCCATCTCTTATCATTCCTGTAGTTCCTTGAGATGTACTAAGGTGTAAAATTTCTACATGCTTCACTGTCCAATTGTTTCTGATCTTACCTATGCTTTATTCACATCTATTAGTAACCCCCTGAACTGAACAGTATACTAGGAACAACTGAAACATCAAAATAGATTTCTTTATTTTGACAGGAAAGGTGACTTTCATACAACTTAGAAGCCTAATTGATTAGTTCACTTGTTACTGTGGCAGCTTTGAGAGTCACCCGTCACTATTTTGACTATTTGAGAAGGCCATGGCTAGGCAGGCTAGTAATGATACTAGGTGATGATTGAAAAGGGAAGTGAAGGGAAATAAAAATTTAGTCAGTGGTCGGGTCTCGTACCTTAGTTAGTAGAGCAACGGGCCTAGAAACCTCATGTTCTAACTTACTAGTCAAACGCCTAACCCGATTACATAACAAACTACACAGATCATTTCAAAGAATTCTTGATGCTGGTGAATTACAGATTACACTTATCACATGCTCAGTTTTGACACTGAAACTGAAAGATGAACTGCCTAGACTAGCCACTTCCTCTTGTGTTTATCAATCCGACTGCCCCTGTGAAGTCAGGTAAATTAGTTTGTGTTCTAGGAGTTTACTTTTCAGTGCTCACTAACACCTTTCAGTGTGGTTAAGCAAAGATATGATAAAAATCGTTACCAGCTCCATATCATCGAATGTAGTTAAGACCAGTTATATGGTGGATATGAATAAGTGGTTTTCAATCCTACATTTGGTTCCCATCAACTTTCCAAAACGTACCCGACTGCGAATTCTTCAGGATAGGTAATTCCATTTTAGTCTGTTTACTAGATATATCACATAGTGAAATTGTATCATTTACTGGATAACGTTTCGGGCGCAATTCATTGTCAATATTCATATCAGGTAACTCCAAAACTTCAAGACAGAGTTTATATAGTCCTGCTCTTCTCTCCTACTTTTGATGACAAGGGTAGTAGAACTTAACAGATATCTGAAGCGGGTACAGAATCATTTCTATAACTGCATTCATTTGGTGTTGATCCAATAAACAAAGATTCAGTCGGTTATCAATCTCTCCCTTCTTCCGCCCAACTTACTACTGTCTCTCTATCCCACTCTACCATGTGATTGTGTACAGTTGAATGCGGAGCTATAGCCAAGCTCTTCTCTAAATTTCTTATCTTATTTGGATCTTTTAATCTTGATTTATTTAAGATTTTGTGCTCTGTTATTCCAATCGATCCTGGTCAACTACTTAGACCTTCATATTTGACGTCGCAATCATTGCAATGGGATTTGGTAAATTAAATTATTTTGCTTAGTTGCATCAATAGGATCTTTTTACCTACAAAACTCCTTTCTAAGCGAATTTGTTGGTTTAAGTGCCACCTTAATCTCAGCCAGACTTAGTAAGAATTCTTTGTGATGCTTCTGAGGTGCCTTCTTTGTATGGTAACACAAGAGAGGCTTTGAAAGGGTTGAGAGAATTCTCTCTCTTTGTCCACAAAAAGAAAGTGTTGCCGCTACAACTACCGTGTTCCTATTCCGGACGCACAAATTCATTTCCATCCTATCCCAAGTAACCCTCACCTCCGACGCCCAACTCGTCGTTTCCCCTTCGGATTCCACTAGAGGGCCTGACCTGGTGAGTGATGTACCTAGTCAGCCTTCTCAGTGTATGCCCAATCCATCTCCACTCTCTCCTTCTGCATATTTGTTGGGTGATAGGTTCCTGGTTGGTTTGTTCCCATAGTTCCATGTTGCTTATTCTTTCTGGCCATCCATTTGGTCTTCAGTATTGAGCAAGTGTAGGTGGCAGCTGTGGATGAATGTTCGTAGTTTGTTGGAAGTGCTTTAAGTGACAAGCCAAGTTTCTGAGTCATATAGCAGCACTGACCTGACATCGGTGTTAAAAAATCCGGATCTTGTTCTTTGTACTGAGTGCATAATTTGAAATAATTTTAACAAATTCTCATCTTAACCTATTATTCGTCAAACTTTCCATCTTACCTTATTTTTTTCAACTCTCATAAACACCTTCCTATTGTTTTATTAAACTATCACCTTATGGTGTTACACAAACCATATGATCGTTTAGATAGACAATTATTTTTTGAGTTGAATCCAAATTACAAATAATTCTATCATAAACGTTGACACAAGACGTTTCTGAGTTGATTTCCTCAATCGAATACCATTACTATTAACAAACTTCTAAGCGGAATCTCTTTATTGCTGACGTATGACTTCTCAATATGTACATATAACTGTAGAACCTGAAGAAGTTACCGAAAAGAATATTCTTTATCCAATCAAATGACTTTTAAATTGTACTTGGAATTTTCAATGAATAAAGGAAACCACTGCGATTCATCCAGAGATGACTTCTTTCGGTATATTAGATCAACTGTGAAGTTTTTAATCTTATTCATAACTATGTCTGCAGGTTTTTTAATATCCTCTTTTGATTCTGTTTTGATATGCTTATTGAATCGTTTTCAATTAATCCACCTTATCTGTAACTAATGTTGAGTTGCCTTTCTTTTGTTGCTTTTAATGTCAGTTTACATTGTGCACGTACCTCATTATCAGCTGTCCTATTTATTGTGAAGCAGCATTAGGCTCTCTGGTTCCAATCCTATCGTGGCCCATATGTTTATTTCCCTTTTAGTCATTCATTACCCAGTATCAAGACAGATAATTTTTAGAAAAAGTTATCATATGTAAACAGTAAAGAAACTGTAGTAGAGAATATTTTCATGAAGAAGGAATTGTATATTTTAGTGGAGAAATCAATTTACCTCTGCGGCTATATCATAATCTAAATAACATTTTAGCTGTAGTCCACCTGATGTTCCTTGTCCAATAACTGGTGGTAAAAATGTTTCAAACATACGTATTCTTGCTTCTTTATTTGGCAAATCGACTAGAATTCGTTTCTCTAACCGACGAAGCATTGCATGGTCTAACTCCCTGAAAGTGTAAATAACACATAGAAGAATATGAGTAAATAAGACTACACAGGTAAAACTCAACACTTACATAAAGAATTTCCGGAAAACACTGAAAAGCAACCATCACTATAAGAAATAGATTATTCAGCATGAAAAAGACAGAACAACGTTTAATTTCATACAGGATTGTTTCTACAGGTTGGCATGTGTCAACTACGATGCCTATCAGACTGGAGAATGATAGCACAAAATTCTGAACCCTTGCTATCATTATTTTATCATTTGTCCCTCGCGTTCCTAGTGGTAAATAGGGATTCAGTAGAAGGTCTCCAGTGCACTCTGCACTCTGCAGTCTTCTGAACCTAACTCCATGACAGCCCACAAGCTCTCATCTATTCCTCGCACGATCTCCTCCATGTCACCCTCGCATCGGATGCCCAACTCGTCGTTTCCCATCTGGGTTCCACTCAACGGCCTGGCCTGGCACGTGATGTTCCCAGTTGGTCTTCTCAGTACATGCCAATTCAATCCATCTCCACTCTCTCCTTCTGCATATTTGTTGAGCGATAGGTTCTTACTTCGTCGGTTCGTTGACAGTGAGAGTTCCTCCTTGCTTATTCCTTCTGGCCATCTGACCATCAGTATCGAGCCAGCGTAAGCAATTGTTTATGAATGTGTGTAGTTTAATGGGAATGCATTTCGAGACCCGCTAAGTTTCTCAACCACAGCAGAGAAGCACTGACTTGACTGAATTGGTGTTGAAAGTCAGGATGTTGTTCACGCTTTATGCTGAGTGCAGTGCAGAAGATCTCCACACTCGTTTCGGATTGATGAAATGAGGCCTGTGTTGCTTTTCCGATCCTGGTTTTGACATCCTCGTCTGTGCCTGTGCCGCCTGTAGATGAAACGGTGCTGCTTAACTGGTGGGTGAAACAGGCTAATTTCTTTAAGTTCCTCCCGTTGACAATGATTGGGGCTGGTTGTTGGTGTTGGTGCTGGTTGGGTATCTTCATCACCTCTCTCTGTCTTCTTTACATTCACTTGAAGTCCTGTCTTCGCTGCCCTGCCTCTCCTGTCAACTCGTTAGTTTTCACCTGTACATCTTCGAGTTTTTGTGACATTAGACACAATTCATCGTTGGTTGCGAAATCGAAATCTTCTAGGACCTTTTCTCCGGTTCAGCCGGCGTATCCCCATCTTCTCATTCCTCCCAGTTTGCTGCATGGTCCATTCGACCACAATCAGGAAGATGATGGGTGATAGTAGGCGGCAGCCTTGTCTTACTCCTGTCTTCACTTCAAAAGCATCACTGATCTTTCCATTGTGAATTACTTGGCATGTGGCGTCTTCATATAGTTGTTGAATGAGGTTGGTAAAGGTTTGTGGTGTTCCGTAGTATTTAAGTAGTTGCCTACCAAATTACTCCTCGGTCGACGCTGTCGAAGGCCTTTTCAAAGTCGATGAAGTTGAGTTAGAGAGTTGACTGCCACTGAACCCTTGCTAGCAAGCATATAACTCACACCAAACGGTATTCGAAGAATCCTGTAGATATAGAAGAGTTCCAAATTAATTCTGACTTTAGTCTTACACTATATGCATCTATGAACAATACAGTCTTTTTTCTAAATACTGTATAGGCGTGTACAGGCTTTATTGTTAAAATAAGTAGCTTTCATAAGGTTGGGATTTCATGTATACATTTACTCAATAAAATCTTCTCTGCTGTGGTTGAGAAACTTAGCGGGTCTCGAAATGCATTCCCATTAAACTACACACATTCATAAACAATTGCTTACGCTGGCTCGATACTGATGGTCAGATGGCCAGAAGGAATAAGCAAGGAGGAACTCTCACTGTCAACGAACCGACGAAGTAAGAACCTATCGCTCAACAAATATGCAGAAGGAGAGAGTGGAGATGGATTGAATTGGCATGTACTGAGAAGACCAACTGGGAACATCACGTGCCAGGCCAGGCCGTTGAGTGGAACCCAGATGGGAAACGACGAGTTGGGCATCCGATGCGAGGGTGACATGGAGGAGATCGTGCGAGGAATAGATGAGAGCTTGTGGGCTGTCATGGAGTTAGGTTCAGAAGACTGCAGAGTGCAGAGTGCACTGGAGACATTCTACTGAATCCCTATGTTCCACTAGGAACCTAAGGAGATTTAATGATTTAATATTTAACAGACGACATCCGTCAACACGCCACCTCTATGTGTATCTACTAGTTCACCCACTCCTGTGCAGTAAGGTACATAAGCATAGATTAGTGTCAAGACTCATAAGATGAAATATTCCACCGTGGTTGTATACGGCTGAATGGAAGCTTATTTAGTCTGTTTCAGCCATTCAATCTATCTAAACAATGATTTTAAGTTTATTTATTTAATCCACTCAAACATTTCACATATTCTCTTTCTTCAGCATATAGAAACAGCAGAGGACTTGGCCATCCATGAACTGAAGCCTGATATTTGTGTATAGCAGAAGTATGCACAGTCTCTGTTTCTACCCTGATCTGAATTAGGTCTTGGTTTGTTCCGTTCCTTTTTTGTTTTTCTTTCAACTTCCCCTTTGGTTAGATTAATCTTTGTACTCTTACACCGTCATTATCAGTAATATTATCATTTTTACACTTAACAGTTTCCGGTGTTACTTTATCTAATCTTCTTCATGATTGTAACTTTTAACAAAACATTTTCATTCACTTGTTACCGAATTGTTTGATTGGTTATTAACTCTACCATATTTTCACCCCTATGTAATCTGTAAGCACTTTATGTACTAGTCCGATTCTCATGTAGCCCCTTCTTATTACCATTCAACTTTTACGTCATCAATTAGCCATATTAATACAATTGAACCACCATTACTGTTATTTCAATCTCCCATTATTTAGATTTAATCTTTCTCAAGGGATCTCAGTATTTAAGTAGCATCTGTATATACGAGAATAACTTCACTGAAAATCTTGTTTTTGATATCACTTCGTGAATTATGGGTTACCAAACATTCAGAATTGATTGTTTATTGATACTTTTAATTCCCTTTTGCTATCCTCAGTCGAATTTCTCGACCACTGTAGGCAGATACGCTCCTTCTAGGTGAATACCTCGATACTGTTCAGATGTTCATTATATTGTAGTCAATCTGGTAATGGGCAGCTGAATCCATGATGAGCATTCTATCCTGCGAGAAACTCACTCTTCAGCTAGATGTACCTGTACTTTAATCAGCAGTGTTATTCCCAGTGAGATTTGAAAAATGAAAATGTTATACACTAAGCCATTTGCTGACAAAGTTTATGTTTAACGAAGGTAGCTGGAAATATTTCATTCAGCTTTCTCTGTTTCTCTTACCAGGGTAGATTTGATGCAGCTAACAAAAATACTAAATCATCAGATTTCGCCAAACCATCCATTTGCATTAATAATTCTGTTTTCATTCTACGTGATCCTTCATGCTCACTACCAATGGATATATTTGAACCACCACCGTTTGAAGTGTTACATCCAGATATTGAACCTCTTTGAGACATTAAAGAATCTAATTCATCCAGGAATATTGTTGAAGGTGCATGAAATCTTGCTAATTCAAATAGAACCTAAAGTATTTAAAAGATGTAAAACAAGTTTACTACAATGATAAGCCAGCAGGTAAAATCTCTAGGTTACTAGAATTCACACCAAATAACGAAGTTATTCTAGTTAATTCAATGCCGAAAACTGATGTGATACTTGAAAACAACCAATCACAATGTGTTACCCAGTGTGGCTATCTGAGATAGCTGTAGTTTGGCACATATGTGTTATGGATACTGACTAATGGTCGAAGATGGAATGAAAATTTGAGCTGCGGTAGAAATAAAATCAGCGACCACTAGGTTTCTGGCCCCTAGCTTTACCACCTGAGTTACGAGACCCGACGGCTGACTGTAGAAGCCTCATACTAGGAAAAAGCAGCCCTCTAGTGCCCTCTAGTGAATACCACCTCGAAATCAATTAATCCCTATTAACCCCAAACTGAACTGATTTAGTGCTCATTAGTGACCAGCTTTGAGAGTTGATTCCTGAAGTTTTTAATGAGAAGTAGTGACTGACAAGACAAAGCTGGTGGATGTGAGGAAAAATACTCCACGATGACACTGGGTGTTGGTCGCGCTATGTCGTGAACTGGAAGAAGTTGGAAATATAGGCCACTGTATTCTGACCCTGTGGGTCGATGGTTACACAGTGACCATGGAACCTGAAGGTAATCGATTCGATCCCTATTGGGCTGCGTGGGGTCATGGATGCGTACTGCTGATGAGTCCCATACTGGCTAAATGGAGCAGTTGTTGAGTGCCCCCAAGTTTCCAATGTTCCTCCGAATGATGTCAGTCTATGATGAGTACCAACTAGAAAACAGTCAATCCCCACAAATCCCCATATCAAAATGCATGTGAGATTGAGCACCAGCGTGTTCAGCGTCGTAGGTACATTAAAACTATGTGACTATGTTACATACCCTCAATTTTGTCTAATATTTGCCTGACATTTGCGTATAACCGTAAAATAAGTTAATTTTCGCCGTTTTTGCACCCTCTGGGAGCCGTCGTAAGCTTTTATTTTTCCCGCTGTTTCTTAAGGCTCAGCTCTCATTGGTTGTTAACACTTTTAACTTATCGGTATATTTAGTGTTCGTCAAAGTTGTTTGGAATGTATACATTCAACATCGCTTTCACCTCTTTTGGCTGTTGTTGAGACAGTAAATTCTACCTGTCAACGGTCCGTCTTCTCTTTTTGTTTTTGCGTGCCAGTGGTATTGTTGTTATGGTGGTTGACTTTCAGATTTAGAGATTAAAGTAGATTCTTTTGCACATTAGGTTCTTATCGCTCGTAGACGGCCAGGTCACATTACCGATCACAGTAGAGTTGTAACTACGAAAACTCCGCTAAACTGTAGATCACCTCCTCCAATTGGCAAATAACTTTTGAATATACACTAATTGGTCACTAGAGGGTCACTAACTTCATGTTGTTTAACCCTATGTCCTAGTCAAATCCTGTCAGTTATTTGCAGTAAAGCCGTCAGGCTAGAAGACTCAGCATCGTGATATACTGAGAGAGATGTCAGTTAAATGGAGGCAATTAACAGGTGGCTCTGCTCAACCTAGATGTTATGCTTTTTGGCATTCGTTATCAAGGTGTGTCTGAAACCTGTAAGTTAGAGTTATCCCGCCCGGGGTTCGAACCCACTTCACGCATTGGTACAGAGACGTTATCATTAAACTATTAAGGCTGCAACTAAATTTCTATGGGACCGAATATGCTAAAAACAAGGTACTTCACCTCACCTCACCACAGTGTTTGCTTACAAGCTGTCTTGGTGCTGTGAAACAGTCAATTCAAAGCAAAGGGTTAAAAAGTAGTACGATTGGTCAATGCAAGCCGGATTTCTGTGTACAGAAGTAATATATTTGATCTCTACTTTTAGTATGATCTTATCCGTAATGTAATTTCTTTCTTTTTCCCTTTAAAATTATCTTTTTATTCCACTAATTGATAATTAAAGTAACCATATGATATGGCTTTTTAATTGTAAATTGGTATTTATTTCCTATATTTATAAATACGCATGTGTGGACCTACTTAGTATATGAACTCGTCGACAATCTTTATTCCCTAATTTGTCTCTTCTACTCTCCATAATAAAAATCCACAGTATCTTGTGTTTCTTTATAAGTAACTCAGTAGTCGAATCATCTCAAAGTAGTTTATATGATGGATTGACATCAATTACAGGACGATTGAACAGTCGTTTCTTCGGATCGTCAGATCTCATAGTGAGCAAGTCACCATTGGATCATTAGATTATTAATCAAACGTTCAATAATTTACATATTCAAACTTCTACCTATTATCACATAAATCTCCACTATCCCCATTTTATCTGTACATATTTGTTCTCAATCTCAAGTTAATGAATTGTACAAATCAATTCTTCTGATTAGAACTCTATAAAAATCATTTCAAAATGAGTCAGGAAGAAGCGTTGAAATATCCTTGAGCTGGAGGATCCACTAATTTCAAGGTAGGCTTCAAAATGATTGTTGATGCATTACTCTTTGACATAGTCAGATTCAGAAAGGTTTTCTTTTCTAGTTTCTCAAGTTAACTTTACAAAATAAGGTGATTCTCTAGTCCAAATGAACATCTACTTACTACATAAATCAATACCCATCTTACATAAGAAATTAATCAAATTCAGGATATACGGACCATATAATGCTCAGCCAAATAAGTGAACTGTAAGGTGCTGTCGAAAAAGTTTTATGGTTCTTGCTTGTCTCCTGTACAAAGTTGTGAATACTCACTATTGACATGTTTCACAATAGAATGAGTCGACTGAGTTTCACTGATTTTGTAGCTGACTTCAGCTTGTCATGATAACAACCTAAGGAGAATATGTCAACCCTATACGATCAAGAATGCGACTCTATGAACTCGGATTGTTATCATGAGTTAAAAAGCTGGAAAAAAAAAGTAAAGATTTCACTCATATATACACATACCAAGAAAAATTTGGTCATATTACATAACCAAGAACTTACACGGACTAATTTTTCTGAATCACCTCTCCATTTACTAACAATAGTTGATGCAGAAATATTGAAAAATGTTGTTTTGCATTCCGTAGCAACAGCTTTGGCTAACAGAGTTTTTCCTGTACCTAAAGTAAGAAAAATACTACTCATCTGAAAGTGAAACACATTCCAGTGTATATGATGTTTCTTATATTATCCTGTAACCTACATGTCAATGAAGATTGATCAATCCGTTCCAGTCGATAACGAGGTAATACAAACAACACCATGGAAACTATACCTGTTGTATAATAAATGGCTATCGTGACTCAGTGACCTAGTGGATAATCCTCTGGCGTCTAAAACGATCGGTCCTATATTCGAGTTTTAGTGAGAACCACATCGCTTAGTAAAAGGTAAGTACATCTACCTGACGAGTCCTTAATCGGAAGAAAAGAGCTTCCTGGATTCCAACATTAACATTCCAGGTGTCCACATGTAGTGAAACTCAGTAACCAGATTTGAGTTCGCCCAACACGTTATGTTCTATACCGGTTATATGAAGATTACTGTTACCGAAACTAATTGCTTGTCTAAATATCTGTTTTTAGGTGGAATACAGTTCAGTCATGAAATCCTGGTTGAGAGTAGCACCTTAATCAGTGAATCATAAATATGTCAGTTGGCTGGAGGCAATTAGCAAGAAGCCCTGGACCAAGGTTTCGTATTTGTTGGCTATTCGGGCCGCGATTGACTTCCTATAAGACTGGGTTACATACATTGATTGGTTACTCTCCTATGACCGGCCACCGCATGCAACCCAGTCCTACAATATGCCGGTCGTAGTCCAATTAGCTCAGTGGTAAAGTCAATGGCCCGGGTCCGAGTCCCGGTGGGACATCATTTTCGCCGAGGTTGCAGATAGGCCTTGCTGAAGAGTGCCGACAAGCACGAAACCAAGGTCCAAGGCTTCCTGTTAAATGCCTCCAACCAAGTGACATATATTAGCGTGCACCACAATGCTGAGACTTCTAGCTTTGTGACCATATTGCAAATATGATCGGTAGAATTCGATCTGCATTCAACTTTGAAAATATATAGTCATCTTGAGAAGCCCTTAAGACCTTTAATGGAAACGCGATGGGAAATTTCCTCCGCATAATTTAAATGAAATTGTCTCATATGTATTAGTGGTAATCCAGCCAATGAATGGTAAAGCTTCAAAGATGATAAACTTATTTGAAATCTACATTCCCAGAGTAAAACAGATTAATAAATTATCAATAAAGTACCATTTTCCCTATTTATTACGTTGTACTTCAATTTCTTGATTCTAATTGGTCAGTGAAGTACAAATCATGTGCAGACCAAATTGCAACGCTTCGTATCATCATAGAACAGAGCATAGAATGGCAATCAGCTCTCTACCTCAACTTCATCGACTTTGAGAAGGCCTTTGACAGCGTCGACCGAGAAGTAATTTGGAAACTGCTTCAATACTACGGAGTACCGCAAACCTTTATCCGCCTCATTCAACAGCTATATGAAGATGCCACATGCCAAGTAATCCACAATGGGAAGCTCAGTGATGCCTTTGAAGTGAAGACAGGAGTGAAACAAGGTTGCCTACTATCTCCCATGATATTCCTTATTGTGGTGAACTGGATCATGCAGCAAACATTGGTGAGCGAGAAGAGGGGGATACACTGGACGACGGAAAAGAACCTAGAAGACTTGGATTTCGCCGATGACTTATGCCTAATGTCACACAAACTTGAAGATCTGCAGGCAAAAACTAACAAGTTGATAGAAGAGGCAGCGAAGACGGGACTCCAGGTGAATATAGAGAAGACAGAAGTGATGAAGATACCGCACCACCACCATCAACAACAACAACAAACTCCAATCACCGTCAACGGGAGAAACTTGAAGGAAGTAACCTCCTTCACTTATCTAGGAAGCACTATTTCAACTACAGGCGGAACGGACGAGGATGTCAAAGTCAGAATCGGAAAAGCAAGACAGGCGTTCATTAGCCTGAAACCAGTGTGGAGATCTTCTGCACTCAGCATGCGGAACAAGATCCAGATTTTCAACACCAACGTCAAGTCAGTGCTCTTGTATGGCTCAGAGACTTGGCGCGTCACGAAAGGTATTTCCAATAAACTACAGACATTCATCAACAACTGCTTACGCTCGCTACTGAAGATCAGATGGCCAGAAATAATAAGCAACAAGGAACTCTGGGAACGAACCAACCAAGAACCTATCACGCAGCAAATATGCAGGAGGAAGTGGAGATGGATTGGCCATGCACTGAGAAGGCCGACGGAGGACATCACGCGTCAGGCCCTCGAGTGGAATCCCCATGGGAAGCGACGAGTTGGACGTCCGAGGGTGACATGGAGGAGGTCGTGCGAGCAGGAAATGAGAGCTTCTGGGCTGTCGTGGGACCAGGTTCAAAAGATCTCAGAGAACAGAGGTCACTGGAGGCGTGCAACTGAAGCCCTATGTTCCACTAGGAACCCAAGGGACTAATAATAATAATAATAATAATAATAATAATAATAATAATAATTGGTCAGTACATGCTTGAATGTGATTGGCCGTCACTAAAGTTTGATTCTACCATAGTTACAATTTTCATCCTAATCCTTATACCGGATTTCATTATTATCTCACTCCTTCTTATTCCCTTTTTATATTTATTTCTACCACTTTTGTTTGCTTCATTCATAATTCCTGTGTCTTCTATATACGTACCTCCCAACTAGATGTGATGAAATGAGGCGTGGCAACTTGGACCGCAACTCAATAATTATTCTGATCAGAAGTTTTGACAACACATTTCCAAACAAGGTAGATAATAAATACCTTTTAATTCAATACAAGTCCTTCTTTCTGCGACATTGCTTAGTGCGGAGTTCCATTTAGTAATGTATAAATATCATAAAATCTCATACAGCTGTCCGAAAGTGTAAACATTTAAAGGCTGATGTTGTCTAGAGCAAAACGTGCACCTGTTCGCATATAAGCATACCACGCCTCAAATTAGCAGCCGGGGGGATAGCCATAAAAATATCAAGCATGATAGTTTCTTAAATCACAATTTAACTAAATATCTGAGCTTCATAACATCAAAAATGCTTCAAAGATATTCCAGACAATTTTATGAATAGACTGGCATATATAAAACCCAAAAAGTCCAGATCAACCTAGGACTAGGCATTACGGCGTAACGGTCCCAGATGCCACACACCAAATCAGTTCATCAAGTAAAAAGGCAGTGAGGTGCAAGATGAAGGTAAGAAAATCCAGTCAAAAGAAATATAAAGTACGAGGAGAAAGAAAGGAAGAATGACAAAATGGTGAGATTCGGTATAGCGTCGTTAAGATGAGGATAAAATGTGTGGGGATGCATCTTCACCACTGACATAGGTTCTCACCCATATCACCTACAGTCAGTCTCCAACCACTGATTCCTCTTGTCCTGCAGACCCCAACCAACAGTCAGAGACTTCATACACTGATGCCATGCTTTAGTCTGGCCACCTTGAACCTTTTTCCAACCTGAACCTACTTCGGCCAACATTGTGTGATGAGGCAGATGGTGATCAAGCATACGCAACACGTGTTCCAAACATCTCAGTTGATCCAAGTTCATAACCTCGTCAACTGATTTACCTCTACTCCCTCCTCAAAACTCTACTCCTGACTTGTGCTTTACTCATGTGGTGTGGTGACACCACGGAATACGGCCTACACTATGAAGGTGACGTGGTCAAATACCTGCAACCAGGCTTCTCATGTCTTCCATCTTGAATGGCCATGTTTCACAGCCATACAGTAGAACAGACTAGACTGTTGTGCAGTACCCGTGACCTTTAATAGACAATTGGGTATCACGGTGTCGGCACAGGTGGCGTAAGTTGGCAAAAGCCAGTCGAGCTTTTTGTATTCGTGCAGAGATTTTATTGGCAACTGACCCACCAGAGAAGTCGGATTGGTTATTTCAGTTATTACCAGGGTGGCCTTTAAAGATGCCCTTAATTTGGCTTGTTTCTGTCTATGAACGTTTGTTATGTTCATTGTGTGTGTGACGTATTATGTTGGATATACTGTCCAAGGTAGTTGGAAATTTGGCCCTTCTTTTCCAGGGAGTGTATTAGGATTCAACATAATATGGAATCATTTGACTATCTGAGCACTATTTGTACTGGTTGATGACTGAAGGTGAGATGAAAATTTGAACCATGACCAGATTGGAACTGGCGACCACCGGGTTTCCCGGCCGATGCTCTACCAACCCAGTTACGAGGTCCAATTACGATCTTTTAAGTGGACTAGACCATTTCTGAGAGTGCTGGTTGTCTTGTAAAAGACTTGAATTCGATGCTTTGTAGCTCTTCAGTTGTACCTTGATGGAATGGTGGGACTATTGTTCTAATCCAGGAATTATCGTTTGATTTTTCTCTTGTATCCTTCTATTCATGGTTTTGAATTTTCTGTACTATATTCTTAAGACAGTTATTGGAATGTAACACATCTATTATGTTTCTTACTTCCGTCTGTCTGTCGTCTTCATTCATGACGAGCTTTGTAACCCTTCTAAATAAGTTCTGAGCAAGTGAAATTTTAGCACTGAGTTGAGATCAAGATAAATTGATAAACTTAAACTTCCATTTCCATTCCTTTTAACTAAACAGTCAAAGAATGGTAGTTCATCACTTGCATATTCACATATGAATTTAATATGTGGAGGATAAGTATTAGTTAATTTCGAAAAGGTTCTGAGGCGAGATCTTTTTACAATGACAAATATATCATCTACGCATCTGAACCAGTTGCGTGGTTTGTTGGCATTAGAAAAGATGAAGGATTCAATATGAGACATGAATATATTTGTAATGATGGGGTGAGTGATGTTGTTCCTATTGAGACTCGAACTAGGAGGCAAGTACATCCAACTGACGAATACCAAACAGGACAAAATGTGCATCCCAGATTCCATTGAGAGCCACTATGAATCATTAGTATTATTGTCACAAAATTACTTAATGTGCACATATAAATGTAGAACATAAAGAAGTTAGAGAAAACAACATTCCTTTTCCATTCAAAATAGCTTCAAAGAACAGAGCATAGAATGGCAGAATGAAAACTCTTTACCTCAACTTCATCGACTTTGAAAAGGTATTCGATAGCGTCGATCAAGAATTAATTTGCAGCTGCTTCAATACTACGCTTTTAGTGCCACAAACCTTTATCAACCTCATTCAACAACACTTATGTGATGATGATGATGAAGCTACATGCCAAGTAATTCACAATGGATAGTGCAGTGATGCCTTTGAAGTGAAGAGAGGATTAAGCCAAGGTTGCTGCCTACTATCACCGATGATGTTCGTGATTGTAATCGACTGAACTAGACTGGATCACGCACTAAACTATGAGGAGAGAGAAGGTAGGCACATGCTGTTTGACCAATGAAAAGACTGTTAAAGATTTGGATTTCGCCGATGATGATTTATGTCTAATGTCATATGTCGCACAAACTTGGAGATCTACAAGCAAAAACTAACAGATTGGCAGAAGAGGCGCGGCAGGGCAGCCAAAGGAGACGGAAGTTCCTTCAGATGAACGTAGAAAAGGCACAGGTGATGAAGATATCTAACCAACAACAAGCACGAATCATCATGAATGGGAGAAATCTGAAGGAGGTTGTCTCTTTCACCTACCTAGGGGGCAGCATCTTTCTAACTAGAGGCGGCGGCACAGGCACATTTGTGAAAGCCAGCATCGGAAAGATAGCAAAACATGCCATCCTTGATTAATCTGAAATGTGTGTGGAGATCTACTGCACCGCACTGAACTCAGGATAAAACGTGAATAAGATCCGAATTCTCAACACTAATTCACTCAAATCAGTGCTTCTATGTTATGGTTCAGAGACCTGGGGCGTCACGGTGAGGATTTCCAACAAACTGCAGACATGCATCATCAGCAGCTACCGCCTATGCTCACTCGATACTGAAGATGGAGATCAGATAGCCAGAATAGGCAACAAGTAACCATAGGTGGCAACAAACCAACCAAAGGATTGGATATGCACTGAGAAGACCATTTGGTGACATCATGCGTCAGGCCAGGCCAGGCCAGGCTCTCGAGTGGAACCCAAATGGGAAATGATGTACTACTGAATAAATATTAATCATAAATTCACACAGCTATTCAATTTTGATAGGAATTTTTAAGAAGATATAAAAGTTGTTTCCAATAATGAAACAAGTCTACGCTTTTGATGATGTAATGTTACCTGGTGGTCCATAGAGTAGTAATCCTTTCCAAGGTGATAATATTCCAGCAAATAATTGAGGATACTGTTAAAATAAAAACCAACAGTATCTTTATGAAATCTTATTGTTTAAAGCTTTTATATAATCATTTCAATTACTTTTTTCCTTAGTATATCATTCCAAAAAAACACCGTTCAATAGACAGATAAAAACAATAACTTAGAATCAATTTCATATTGTTACACTTCATAACAATACAGGTATTGAAATACATAAGAAAACTACAAAGGTATTTCATATAACTTGATAATATACATTTCTATACTTGATCAATAACTCTCGGAGGCCACCATATATGGTTGCGCAATTCCTCAGAAAACATAAAAGTTGGTAAGACAATGGGATGTATGACCTTGACTGTTTCCAGTCTTTTTCTAAAGGTCACTCTGTATTCATTTCGATCTCTTCAACCAATCTCCTATCTACACGTTAGATAGTGAAGATAAAGAAGGGTAATACAAAAAAACTACAAACTATATGAAATCGATTGATTTTCATTTGTGTCATCTTTAAATTTCAAGCACTGATTCTTAACAACCTCGATATCCTGGACAGGATGGATAAAAAAAGATGGTCCATAGTAGTACAGACTAACCACTCCTTGATTTTACCAATATAAATGATATGCGCAATGGTTTCGTATACTCAACATGTATTCTAGACAGTAGAGTTGAAAAACTGTAATATTCCACCGATTATCTTATATCATCTTATTTAGGCTCAACGCCACTGATTAGCTATTACTACTACTACTCCCACTATCAGTGCCTTGAAGCCATCCACAACAGAATAACTGACTGACTAGACCGACGTATGACCTGGCAGACAGCTGTATCAGCTCAACCTTCTACAATTCTGACCGACTTTTAGCCATGATACTAAAGAGTTCTCGAATCACTGATTCCTTTTGTCTTAAGAACCTCCAGTCAGGTGTTTCACATCTCCCTGCACAAGTCAAATCATCAGGTAGGTGTTTCGTTGACTGGTACTAATTCTTGATTTGACCAACCTGAATCATCTTCCAGTCTAGCCAAACTTCCTCTAGTATAGCATGTCATACTAGATGCTCAATACATGTCTAAGCCATCTTGACCGACTAACAGAATACCTAGAACCGACCTGAACATAATGAACTAAACATCATTATTACTTACTTTGATTGGATATACAACTGCTTCTTTCACGAGTCTTTTTGCAGAACTTAAACCAATGATATCATCCCATCGAACATTTGGATTTTGAAGAAATATGTCCTATAATATAAAAATGGATAAGGAAGAAGAGGAACAAATAACTTCCTGAAGATTTTACCAGTATCAGAGTATGGAGTGAAGATAAGCAACTGATGTCTGTTATCTCCGAATATTCTAATTCACTCGTTACGTCTCAATATAGTATATAGTAGTTTACCTTCGTTTCTCATCAATACTTTGATTTTCAGTACACCTCCACAAAAAAGGTCGTGTTTCGTCTTTATTTTCAACTAGCTTCTTCTATGGTTATGTTAAAACAAAATGAAATTAATCACCTCTCTAGTAATTTTATAAAATTAAAATAATATAAGGTAGTACTGGACAGCTGTTTCATCCTAGTGGAGGACTCCTTAGATTTTCAAAAGTCTTGCAAATAGTGTCATTCTGTGATGAATGCAACAAACAGTGAGGAGCGAGAAAAGCGAGATACGCCGGCTGGACCGGAGAAAAGATCCTAGAAGATTTCGACTTCGCCAATGATGACTTGCATCTAATGTCACAAAAACTCCAAGATCTACAGGCAAAAGCTAACAAGTTAACAGAAGAGATAGGGCAGAGAAGACAGGACTTCTAGTAAATGTAAAGAGGACAGAGAGAAGTGATGAAGATACCCAACCAACACCAACACCAACAACAACAACAAGCACCAATCAACATTAATGGGAGAAACTTAAAGGAATTAGCCTCTTTCATCCACCAGCTAAGCAGCATCGTTTCATCTACAGGCGGCACATGCACAGGCGACGACCGCAAAACCAGGATCGGAAAAGCAACATAGGCCTCATTTCATCAATCTGAAACCAGTGTGGAGATCTTCTGCACTGCACTCAGCATAAAGCGTGAACAACATCCTGATTTTCAACACCAATTCAGTCAAGTCAGTGCTTCTCTGTGATGGTTGTGAGACTTGGCACGTTACGAAAGGCATTTCCAACAAATTACACACATTCATCAACAACTGCCGACTACGCTGACTCCATACTGAAGCTCGGATGGATTGCCAGAAACAATAAGCAACAAGGAACTCTGGCCTGCCAGCGAACCAACGAAGCAACAACCTATCGCTCAACCAATATGCACTGGAAGGAAGTGGAGATGGATTGAATTGGCATGCACTGAGAAGACCAACTGGGGACATCACACGCCAGGTCAGGCACTCGAGTGGAACCGAGAGGGGAGTGACGAGTTGGGCGTCCGGTGGGAGGGTGACATGGAGGAGATTGTGTGAGGAAGAAATGAGAGCTTGTGGGCAGCTGTGGCGCCAGGTTGAAAAGATTGCAGAGAAGAGAGTGGAATGGAGACGTGCAACTGAAGCCGTATGTTCCCCTAGGAACCCAAGGGACAAATAATAGTAATAATATAACCGCATTGTACTGATTAGTGACATGCTTTGAGATAGATATCTCGAAGTTCAAGCTAGAAACCTCAACCTATTGGATCAACCATTTGGAAGCGAAGTGGATGCTTAGTGAAGATCCTGGGTAATAGTTGTGCTGTATCGCAAACTGACAGAAATATGAAAATGTGGACCATTTAACTTGGACTCATTAATTGAGTGGTTAATCCTTTCTCTGTAAAACTCGAAGGTCTTGCGTTCCTTCCCTAGGTGAATAGTGGCTGTATACTGCTGAGGAGTCCCCTATCAGGACGAAACAGTGGTCCTTTGCTAGCAGACCTCCAATGCTTTTCCAACTGATTTCATTCCATAATCAATAATACCTTAGAATTCTTACTAACTTCAAAATACATTAAGATATTAGAACCAATTTGTTTTCTAGGGTGAAGTGCACCTATGTGATAGGAGCTTCAACAGCTTCATTCATTTGCTGCTGTGTGTGGAACGCTTTGGATGACTGAGTATAAAAAATGTTTCATCTTACAGGATGTAGGAAGTGATTAGACTTCAGGTAAACATGTCTACTGATTGAAACCAGTTGAGTTTTCAAAATTTCCTATTGTTTAATACACATACTTTCTACTTAACAATTTTAAAGGATAATAGATAAAACATTGGTACAGCTGTTCTCTACACCTGCTTACAACCTAAATTATCTACAGTGAAACAGTGTATAATTGCATTACTAGGCGGATGCTAAAATACCGAAATAAAAAATGAAAAGTAGTTGCGTGTATTTGAACTGCACATTGAAAGTAAATCTTAGAAATAACTCCTTTAAATAGTGCTTTAGGATACTCACAATTACAATCATATTATTACTATCATCATTATTCGTCCCTTGGATTCCTAGTAGAATGTAGTAGGACGTCGGCAGCACGTCTCCATTTCACTCTCTTCTCTACAGTCTTTTCAACCTGACCCCATGACTGCCCACAACTTTTCATTTCTTCCTCACATGATCTACTCCATGTCACACTCACAGCTAGGACGCTTAACTCGTCGTTTCCACTTTGGATTCCACTCAAGGGCCTGGCCTGGCGCATGATGTCTCCGAATGGCTTTCTCAGCGTATACCCGATTCAATCCATCTACATGTTCTTCTTCTGCATATTTATTGGGTGAGGGATTCTCGATTGGTTCGTTCCCAGCCAGAGTTCCTCCTTGCTTATTCTCATTATTCTCGCCATCTCATCTGATCTTCAGTATCGAGTGAGCGTAGACCACAGCTGTTGATGTATATTTTCAGTTTGTTGGAAATGCTTTTCGTAATTTGCCAAGTCTTTCATCATCACATAGAAGCAAGCACTGACTTACTTGACTGACATTGGTAGTATTGAAAACCCAGATCTTGTTCAAGCTTTATGCTGAGTGCATTGCAGTGCAGTAGATCTCTACACTGATTTCAGATTGACGAAAGAAGACTTGTCTTGCTGTCTTTCCGATCCTGGCTGCCTTTGACGTCCTCATCTGTGCCACCCGTATTTGAAACGATGCTGCCTAGGTAGCTAAGTGAAAGAGACTACTTTCTTTAGGTTTCTCCCATTCATGGTGATTGGTGCTTGTCGTTATTGTTGTTGTTGTTGTTGGTTGGTTGGGTATTTTCATCACCTGTGCCTTCTCTACGTTCACTTGAAGTTCTGTCTTCTTTGCCTCCTTTATCAACCTGTTGGTTTTGGCCTGTAGATCTTGGAGTTTGCGTGACATGATGCATAAATTATCATGGGCGAAATCCAAATCTTGTAGGGTCTTTTCATCGGTCACACAGCGTGTGCCCATCTTCTCGCTCCATCATGACAGCCACTCCTTCAGCGTGCTTGTGGTTGTCGTCTGGGTGACAATATCGGAGTAGATTGTTGACTCTCCAGTTAACAGTTTGGAGAGTCCACTTCCATTCCATCTAATTTCGCAGATTCCTAGCACTTCTATGCTATACTTTCTCATCTCTTTGGCAATCTGGGCAGCTTTGCTAGATTCATACATGGTCCGGATATTCCATGTCCCCACCCTTACTTTCCCTTTCATTGGAAGGAGACACACCGGTCGGTTGGCTTCCCAAAGGCTTTCATCAATCAGCATTATTTCTTCTCTCCAATTCCAGAGAGGGATAAGTTTGTTTTAGCTATTGGATTGCTTTTCCGGGGTAGGGTTGCTAGTCCTATGCCTAACCTTCCCTCTTTATCCGAGCTTAGGACCGGCTAGTGACTAGTGAACTAGTTACCTAGGCGAGGTTCACAATTACAATCAAATATTGACAAAGTTCATTTCAGTTCCTTAATATAGGAGTAGAGTTTAGTTACTGTTAAGCAACTCCATAACTTTGGGACATAGTTTATATAGAAGGAAAGAAAATTAGGATTATATAAACTGTCTCAAACTAGTGAAGTTACGTGATATGAATATGAATAATAAGTTATCTCCAAAATGTTATCCAGTAAATGATACTGTCGCTTTACTGTGTGATCATTCGAATAAACAGAATAAAATGGGATTTCAGCTCAGTTCAGTGAGATCAGTTAAAGCGCAACAAAGACACATCGACGTAAGGAAACTGTCAGAATTGAGATAAAGTCAATACGTCATGTAGTAGTATCATAAATTGTATACCTTATTAGAACAAAAATTCTCGGAATCACTAAATAGAGGCTAAAACTTATGAACACTGTGAAATATAAATCGATTGATTGAATAAATCAATGGATAGATAAGTTAGTAATAATCAGAAAATAAAAAAAATGAGTAGAACTAGAAATCTAATGACAAGATGATGATATAATCAAAGAAATGAAGGATTAGGAAATCGAGTTATCAAAGGGAGTTGAAACTTGATGATAGTTTCCTTCTGAATACATAAATCTGGTATCAGGAGTACATGGAACCACTTATAGGCTTATGGAGAATTGTCATGTGGATTGACGACAACTAGAAGTGTCCTTCACGGATCTCATTATCACCATTCCTATTTAACTTCTCTATAGACTTACTAATGTACATAACCTTGGATACATCTGAACTCATAGAGATTGATCTACTCCCTGAAGGTTATCTGATTGACTTGGAATATGCAGACGATATTTTCTAGATAACTGAAGAAATTGACAAAATCCAGGGTCTTCTGATCATGTTGACCAGAAATCTGAGTATGATTGGCATACTTCTTGCACCTGTCAAATCTAAGATGGTGGTCTAGGTGGAGTGTGTAGACCACTTCTGACGAAATCTTAGCTCGGATACAGAAGGCCTGTTCAGCAATTGCCGAATTCCGTCATCTGTAAAGCCGACTGGTAAGATACCCGACTATCTAACAAAGACAAGTTTACTAATCTGCAGTCCATTCTGTCCCGTTGTACACCCGTGAGAGATGATCGTTAAAGGAGGAAGATAAGAAGCAGTTACAAGTTTTTAATCTCAGGTGTCTTCGCAGTATTACTCGCGTTTAGCGGAATTACCATGTAAGAAGTGCTGAGGTCAAGGAAAGGGCACTTGGCAAGATAAGCAATTCGATTGATGAGGATATGTATCTCAGTCAGTTGAGATGGCTTACAGATGGATTGCGCAAGCCAATCCGCCGCTTAACTCAACAGGTTATGCTTCAGGAATTTGGAAGATGGTTTAGGATGACTAGACCAAGATGTAACATCAGTCTATGAATTCTGTTATTGTTTATGTGAGCTATGTGGGGAAAAGTAAACTACCTGGCTGCGATCCATGAAATGTTAGGAACCAGTGCCTGGGCAATGTCATTGATATGACTGAAAATCTGTCACAGTGTCGCAGATATAGTCATGCTTTCATATCACTTACTCCTATCTTCAGATTGTTTATTCTCTCATACTACTTTATCTACTTTGATATCAATCTTTTCCATCCATTTACTCTTCGTATACTACTATGAATTGTGGCAAGTTGAGCCGATGCAGTTGTGTGCTAAGTTCTACGTTGATTTCCTCTGTCTATCTGTCTGTATAACTTCAAAGAAGTGAAGATGATTTTAATTATTTTGTTTGTTGATCATTTCAATCGATTTCAAAGTATCTGCTTAGTGTCCTATGTATTCAATAAACGCTTAGTAATTTCATAACTGTAAATCTTTGCTTTTATTAATTGTAGACTTTTCAGAAGATATTCAAAGTATCGAAAGTATGCTCTTCTTTCTTTTACTTCAATGTAATTGTTCATCGACTTATCTAATCTGTTGTTCTAAATTCTATAGTATTCACTAATTCTTATCCCCCCCCCCTCCAATTTTCCTTCTAATTAGATTATATATTTATGACACCATAACATGACATTTTGATTTTATGTCGATTTTAACAGTCTCTTTGTTGCATTTTGATTGATCTCACTGAGTTGAAGTTTGGTAACATATTTAATTGTAACATAATTTTAAACAGTTTAGGTTGTAAGCAGTTGTGTAGTACAGCTGAAATAATGAAATGTATCCATATATTATTCCACATCAGTGTTTATTCATGTTCATATTGTTCAATATTATTTTACAGTGAAAACAAAAAGGATTGAGTTATTATTTCATGATAAAACATAATCATCAGTAATAAAACTATACGAAGTGAACAAAATGATAAATCTAAAAGTTTTTGAGGGGGTTGTGGAGATTTGGAAATATTTCAAATTGTTATTCATCGAAGACTGACCCAGTGGCTCAATGGTTACGCGCTGGCCGCAGAACCTGAAGGTCGCGGGTTCGATCCCTGCTGGTGGGGTCTTGGGTGCGCACTGCTGAGGAGTCCCATACTAGGACGAAACAGCTGTCCAGTGCTCCCAGGTTTCCTTTGTTCCTCCAACTGATGTTAGTCTTCGATGAATAACAATTTGAAATCTAAAAGTGCTTATCATCTCTAATATCACCATAACATCAATATTTTGAAGTACAGTTATCAATTGAGTAATATCAAAGCTGTCTAACTGTCTACGCTCTATACTAAAGATCAGATGGATGATCAGAAAGAATAAGCAACAAGTAACCATGGCTGGCAACTAACCAACCAACCAAGAACCTGTCACCCAACAAATATCGAGAAGAAAGTGGAGATGGATTGGACATACACTGATGAAGACGATTCGGGAACATCACGCGCCAGGCCAGGCCATGCTCTCAAGTGGAACCCAAATGGGAGATGACAAGTTGGGCGTCCGAGGGTGACATGGATGAGATGGTGTGAGGAAGAAACTAAAGGTGATAGGCAGTCATGGAGCGAGGCTAGGAGGACTGCAGAGAAGAGAATGAGATAGCGATGTGCTACTGACGTCCTACGTTCCACTAGGAACCCAAAGGACAAATAATAATAATCAGTAAGGATATAAATCTACACCAGCTCAGATGAATGTGACATATCTTCAGCCCTTATCCACTCACCCTGTAAAAAAAAAGGATGTAAACAACTTGATATCAAAGTATAGCACCAATCATTGAAGGTTCATAGAGTTGGTCCCAGCCACCAGGTGACGAGAAACTTTTTGAGAGTAGGCTCCGTGGAACAACTTATGCTGATGATCAAGTTCTACGTTATAACTGCTTGTCTTCAAATCAGTACTTCAATAGCACAAATATACTAGGGATTATAAGGAGTCAAACTGTTAGTTGTTCGGATGTGACCCACAAGACGCAATGGACCTAACTTTCATGCTTGTTGGCACTCGTCAGTAAGACGACTCTGCAACCTCGATGGAACTGATATTTTCTGTGTAAACTGAACTCACGCCACCTGGTATTGAAGTCAGCCGTGACTGACCTCCCACAGGATTGGACTGGAGAGGAACTAATCTTATATTGTCTAGTCCTATGTGCTGATCGGATCGGATCGAACGTTTTGTGATTTGGCCACCAAGCTAGGATTTTCGTCTTTTCCGTTCACTGTTTGGTGCATAGACGGTTGGATGATAGTGAGATGAAAATATGGACCGAGGCTGGATTCGAACCACCAACCACCGGGTTACCGGCCCAGTGCTTTGCCAACTGAGGTACGAGGTCCGACTGCTGACCACAATTTTATTTCACTTCAATCAATAGTGTACAGTCGAAAAATCATCACGACAATGATGAAAGCGGAAACTTACACGTGAAATTGTTAAAGCCAAACTTCTCCATTCTCCTGTATAGCCTAAATAACTTCCTAAAGGCTTTAATAAACGTTCCTGAAAAGTGTAGCGTAAAAAACTTATGGTTAGACATTTAATACAGTTAAACAGCGATAAAGATTGAAGCAGCCTTTTATTCACACTTAAATTTTGTTTGTGTAAACAGTAATCGTTTCCTCTGCATTATAACTTCAGAAAGACCGAGAAATATGACGTAGATATATCAGTATCCACATGAGTCTCAGTGGTTTCATTCAATTTCAAAAAATATCAATCATCGAAACAATTAAAATGAACCATCAGAATCCGACAGACTGTATTTATTGGCTAGTACTAGAATCCAGGACTTACATTTTGTCTCATTTCGGACTCATCAGCTGAATGTACTAGCACCTTAATGAGTGATGCCGTTTCTACTGATACATGAATTCAGCACCCATCGATTCAAACACAAGATAATTAATCACTAGACCATTAATGTATGACAAATTCGAGACAATTTCCGGAATTCCTATAAGAAACAATGGTCTCTCAGGTCAGCCAAGTTGGACATGTGAAAGAATACTCACTGACAGGAATGGATGATGGTGACGATTTATCATGAACAGATCGAAGTAGAAAAATATGGCTTATTAGATTCTGATCCATCAGCTGAATAATAAAGTGCTCGCCATGAGACTAGATAGTCTTGTATTCTACCTTGCTACATTTCTGTCTTGTTGGGTCCTATGATTCATGGACTAAGCGAAATACCTAATACCGGTAATAACTAACATTATTCAAAATAGAAATCCTCAATAACTTCAAGATACATTACTGTCTAGCGTTGGCTCATTAGTGACATGCTTCTAGATGGATATCACGAAGTTCTAATGAAAACCTGTGGCCTGTGGTACGGTCAGCCAGTTGGGAGTAAAAAGGACGCCGCCAAATAAAGATAAAGAGCTGTATCACGAATTGACAGAATTAAGAAACTGTATTCAAACTCAATGCCTGGATGGTTAGGACGTTCGCCTTAACAAATAAAGCCCCTGGCTTCCAACTTCTGGGAGTTGTGGTTGTATACTGCTATGCAGTTTCATACTAGGATGAAACAGTGTTTCCAAGTTTCCAATAATTCTCTAAATAATGTCACCTTGTGATGAATACTACTGTAAGATCAACTAATTATCAAATGAAGTTATTCAACTTGTAATAGAAGCAGTAATGCGTTTATCTGTATAAATTCTTGTCAAAGTAATCCTTGTCATGTATCTCATACAGTTGATTTCAGGATTTCGAAATACCTAATAAAAATCAGAACCAGTGTGGTGCTTGAGATAAGTCACATTTCCAGTAACACTAAAGATACTCGTTTTTATAGTCTAGAAGACTTTATAATTTCCTTTATAAAGACAGTATGATTTGTGTTATTGCTGGTATTATACCGTTATTGACTGCACCGAATTGATCGGTCTCTATTGGCATATGGGCTCCTGTTCAGATGCCTCGAGATACCTGTGTTCTTGTTATAGTGATGATGGATCGTGGTTAGCAGTGGAGTTCAAGGTAGGCATTTCGTCCTATTTGGGACTCACTGGTCAGCTGGATGTACCTGCCTCCAGAATAGGATGAAATGCGCATCCTGGATCCCACTGCTAACCACTATTCATCATTACTATAACTAGAACACAGGTGTATCAATCATCCGAACAGGAGCCCATATGCCAATAGAGACAGACCAATTCGGTCCGATCAACGACGGTATAGTACAAGCAATAACACTAACACTATACGCGTCTCACAAGAAGTGGCTATCGTGGCCCAGTAGTGTAGTGGATAATGCTCTCGCATTTGAAGCGATTGCCCCCGAGTCTGAATCCCGGTGGGGACAACATCACTTACAGGGAGGCAGGTACATCCAGCTGACCAGTGAGCCCCATATAGGACGAAGTGCTCATCCTGGATTCCACTGCTAGCCACTATCCACCTTTAGTGTAATTTGTATACAATATAACATAGCAAACTGAAAACCAGTTCAGACTGATCACCACTGTTGAACACCACAAATAGTTTACTGACAAACAATTAAGCCATTAATACAAATTAGTTTCATCTGACATAGGTTTCTAAGAATGCTTCCAGGGTAACGATTAGCTATTTCTCTGTCTGTATGTCTTCCTATTGTACCTACTTTGATAACTACAAATCCACTTGTTTATACAGTCTGGGGTCAAATGTGGTAGGTATTTCCTTGCTTGTGCATAAGACTTGATTTGCACGAGATATAACTTTGGTGTAAAAATTGCCTCTATATACTTGGCCCAACAGTCATTGCATGGAATTTGGTAGATTAGATTATTTTGTTTAGTTGGATTTATTGGATCCTTAAACCGATAAAACTTATCTCTGAGTGAGTTGGTAGGTTTAAATCTCGCCGTAATTCCAGCTTTGTTGAGAATCCTGCATAAAGTTTCTTATGTTCTTACCTTATAGGGTAACACAGTGAAGACTTTTAACTCCTTTCTGTTCATGTTGTCGTTATGACTCGGATTCATGTTACTTTTATTATTTCGTTTATTCTGCATTCGTAGGAGTTTCTGACTGAAGAGTAGAGAATAATTATTAACTCTTCCTTTATGTACTTCAATTCCTAATTTAAGTGCTTGTACAAACTAGTGAGTTTTCTAGCTCCATTATTTAAACAATTGGTTAAGCCTGCCTTAACTGACAGACAGTCGATGAGATGACCTGAAGTCTAAACATCTGTTAAAATGTCCCGGTTTCCTATAGATGGTAGTGTCCAAACCACTGTTTGTTCTTCGTTTTCCATTTCTGCGATCCAACATAAGTAATTCTCCTTGTTCATTTTTACCTGCTAGTGGGTTTCTATAAGTGAAGATACTGACGATATCTTTGGATTTCATCCATATAGCCATCATATCTTAGATACAGGATTATAAATTCATGTTTTCCCAAGCTATCTATAGACTTATCAGCTACGATTAGAGATACTGGTGATCCTGTTAGCACTCCTTCACTGTTCATTGCATCAATACCCAACATATGTGTAATAAGAGATGAAGCGACACCTATAACAGAGATATGGAAAACTTTACTACCAATCAAACAAACAGTATGAGGTTATAGGATTAAAAAAATCAGACGATGAATGTTGTGGGATTACATTGACATGATTATGAGCAATAACTTATGCTCATAGCGTCACCAAGTATATAAGAGTGTATCACTGTTATATCAAGATATGACTATGGACAGTAAATTATGTCCGAAACGTAATCCATAAAACAATACTCTTACACTTTGTGATAAGTCTAATAAACCAATTAAAATGTTCAATCTTACCTTAAACAATTGTTTATCTCGTGTCTTTATCTTATCATGTGGTACGCATATCTCTTATAGTCCGTTTTGGTTTGCCTGGGACACACTTGCTACTGTTATGTTGACACACCCTCTGTAAGATATTTTGACAACGACAAACTTACAGATACCTCACGATTTGAGGTTTGTTTATTTCATAAAGAACTTTATTTTAAACAAATCCTATGTATTTGATTTTACCCGTAACTCGAGCGATTGGTTTATTGACGGAGAATCACTTTGCGGTTCCGACTTTCTTGGAAAAAAATTCATAAACATCTTTTCCATTTTCTTTTCTGTCTTAATAAAAGCTGTGAGTCATAACCAGCCAATAATTAGCTGTTTTATTTGCATAATGTCTAATGTATAGTGTCTAATGTTGCAGAAACTCGGTGATCTACAGGCAAAAGCTAACAAGTTGACAGAAGAGGTAAGGCAGAGAAGACAGGACTTCAAGTGAATGTAAAGAAGACAGAGAGAAGTGATGAAGATACCCAACCAACACCACCAACAACAACAAGCACCAATCAACATTAATGGGAGAAACTTAAAGGAATTAGCCTCTTTCATCCACCAGCTAAGCAGCATCGTTTCAACTACAGGTGGCACATGCACAGGCGAAGATGTCAAAACCAGCATCGAAAAAAACAACACAGGCCTCATTTCATCAATCTGAAACCAGTGTGGTGATCTTCTGCACTGCACTCAGCATAAAGCGTGAACAACATCCTGATTTTCAACACCAATTCAGTCAAGTCAGTGCTTCTCTGCTGTGGTTGAGAGACTTGACGCGTTACGAAAGGCATTTCCAACAAATTACACACATTCATCAACAACTGCCGACTACGCTGACTCCATACTGAAGCTCAGATGGATTGCCAGAAACAATAAGCAACAACGAACTCTGGCCTGCCAGCGAACCAACGAAGCAACAACCTATCGCTCAACCAATATGCACTGGAAGGAAGTGGAGATGGATTGAATTGGCATACACTGAGAAGACCAACTGGGGACATCACACGCCAGGTCAGGCACTCGAGTGGAACCGAGACGGGGAACGACGAGTTGGGCGTCCGATGAGAGGGTGATATGGAGGAGATTGTGTGAGGAAGAAATGAGAGCTTGTGGGCAGTTGTGGCGCCAGGTTGAAAAGATTGCAGAGAAGAGAGTGGAATGGAGACGTGCAATTGAAGCCGTATGTTCCACTGGGAACCCAAGGGACTAATAATATAAAATATGATTTGTATACTCTAATCAAATCTTTCTTACTTCTTTCTAAAGAATTATGGAGTTTAAACTTCAAAGAAAATGAAATGATATCTAATGTTTTACTGCAAATTTTGTCCATTGTATAAATATATATTCCATTGGAAACTTACCTGTGGATCTTCGATAACTTGGTTTTCTTCTAAAGGTAATCGTGTTTCTTGACTTAACATTGATCTATAGTCAATAAATTGACGTGGAAAGTTTTGTTTGTTTAAAGAAGATATACAACCATTCTGATTCGATTCTATTTGATTTGATAAGGTTATGGACGAAGTATGCGATAAATTCAGTGGAATACCACTTTTGATTGTACGCCCTGATGTTTGTACAAAAGGATCTTGTTTCCCTTGTACAGTTAATCCATTGAATGATCGATTCTGATTGGTTGAGTTTTCGTAGACAAATATATAAATAAGCACAAAAAAGAGTAGATGAATATAACAGGTTAGTAAACAGATAAGCTAAAGTAAAACATAATTTCATACGAATGATATAGGAGGATAGAGGAAATGTTGACAGACAACAATAGAATGTTAAAATTTTCGATACAGAACTTCGATCACCTGTAAATTTTCAGTTATTCTTCTATGATTGACTTTGAATCATTTCACAGATACACAAATCAATGGCTATTAAAATCTTGAGAAGACATGAATCAATCCAACAGTTAGGTACTTCATATTCATAGTCTGTTTAGTGGCTAGCAGTGGAATCCAGGATAAGCGTTTCGTCCACATAGCAGTTTTATAGTTCTACTCAGTCTAGCGATGGGAAACTACAAGCTCGACTGAATGACTCAATCAACATAGAACCTAACACACAACTACATCGGCTCAACTTTCCACAAATCACAGTCGTATATGAAGAACAGATGGGTGAGTGCAAATATTCAAGCTTTGGAAGATGTGAATGAGTGAATACATTTGTGCCACTGTGACTGATTTTCAGCCATGTTATCAAGAGTCCTCAAACCCCTGATTCCATTCATCTCGTGGACCCCGACCAGGTGGTCGAAACCTTTCCCACACGGTTCACATTAACAGTAAGAGACTTCATGAAGTGGTACAATGTGTTGGTCTGGCCATAGTGGACGCTCTTCCAGCCTAATCCAATTTCCTCTAACATAGCATTACAGGTCAAGAAAGGTAGTCGTTCGGTGTGCGAAGTACATGTCCAAGCCATCTCAGTTGATGAAGGTTCGCAACCGTCCTTACCTTGCCTAGTACTCTTCGCCTGACCTCAACATTGTTCACACTGTGATTCCACCCAAAGCGAGCAAAGTGACGAAGACACCTCTCATCAAAAACCTGAAGCCACTTAATGTCTTCCACTTTCAACGGCCATGTCTCATAGTCGTATAATAGGACAGAATGGATTACAGCGGAGTACATTCCTCATCCTAACAACGTTACACCGAATCTCACCACTTTGTCACTCCTCTTTTCTTTCTTCTCGTACTTTATATTTCTTTTGACTGCATTCACTTATCGTCATCCTTCGCCTAACTACCTTTTTACTTGATGTGCTGATATGAGGTGTGGCAACTCGGACCGTTACGCAGTAATGCCTGGTCCTATGTTGATAATGATGATATTCCTTCTTTGATGAACAGTCTGATATCTCACTAGTCGGCGCCACAAGTGATGCAAGTTGGCAAATGCCAAACGAGCCTTCTGTATCCCAGCTGAGATGTTGTCAGCAACCAGCTCATTCTGGCCAGTTCTCGTGAACTCACTGATGTAGACATATCACTGAGTTGTAGAACAGAATATATACTCCTCTACTAAATACCAATAAATAGCCGTCCAGTACAAATATCAATAAGCACTTCGTTACTTCATATATTGGTGCCAAGTTTTAGTTCAACCATCATTAGCTTTTCTAAAACCAATAATACTTTGTAGAGTACTGCGTATTCCCTTTATTAAAGCTAATTAATAGCAATCCCTAAATAAGTTAAGTAGCTGATATATTCAATCACTTTGTTACCTATTTGTAAACCAGATACATATTCACAGTTTACGCTGCTTATCAACTGTTCAAGGATCAAGGAGACTGAGGGGATTAATTTAATCATTTGATGTATCTAAGCTGGAAACATAAATAACTTCTTGTCATAGGTGATAATTATGTATCAGTTATTAACTTTACTGTTTTATACAGTCGATTTCATCTAAATATTTCCATGATATCTAAATATAAAAAGATTGATAAGTTGGGTTTTCTGGACACTTTAATCACTAAACGAAATGATGAAACTTTCAGAAGATTAATATTCCGAAAATAAACATGCAATGGACAGTATCTTTATATCACGTATGGCGTAGGTATGGCGTAGTCACCATGGCAGCGATGTAAAGGTAAGGCGATGGAATCTAGAGGAAAGAAAGCTAGCCAATGCTGATGAAAATAAGAGTGAATGAAAGGAGGACTTAGTTTGGCCAGACTAAGACATAGTTTCAGTCAATGAAGTCGCTGGCTACCTAGCTAGGGTACCTAAGAAAACAAGAATTAATGATTGGAGATTTCTGGTGAAACAATTGAAAATCAGTCATAATCTCTCAGATGTATTCACTCTTTGATGTCTTCTAAAGTCTGAATATTTTGATCAACCTGACTTGTTAACTTTCATCTCCCCCCACACGCCTTTGTCTATTTTGATTTTAGTCTCTTCCTGTCTACTTCTGCTTTATATGTTACTGCAGAGTGTGATAGATTGAATCTTAGTAGTTGTGTGCGAGGCTCTACTTTGATTTTGTCTGTCTTTCTGTGTAGTTAGAAGTAACAGAATGGTGCAGTAAGGTGGGGAAGAGCATGTTCCTCAGTGTCTATCAAATTATATAACCGTAAAGAGGTATGGTTGTGTTATTGCTGCTCAACACTTAACCAGCCTAAAGTAAATCAGTAATGGTGGAGAATATTTGTAGCCTAGGTGGATGGTATTGGTTGTATTGTGTTCTCTGAGTTGGGTTGTTTACTGGTGGAGCTTTCGTCGTCTTCCTAGACGACATCTTCAGTACTAACTTCAGTATGAAGTCAGCTGTCAATATTTCTCCGCGAGTTATTTGGTAGCTTATCCTGACAAAATGGTTTATGATTGGTTGTCTCCTTCACTTGTTGTGTCTCCGTAGATGTTCCTGTTGGCTATTCTTGTGATTGACCTCCGACCTTTCTGTTGTTTACCATTTTCCTTATTGGTTGGTTGGTCGCCCTCTTCGCCTCCGTCTACATGAACACCAGCTGACTATTAAATGTCACAACATTTCATCACTCATCACTCAATGCGCGTGGATACCAACTATGGATATGAATTCAATTTCGACAATGTAGAAATTTTGGATGGAGAGAGGAAACACAAAGAATATCAGAGAATTCCTAGAAGCCTGACATTCAGGTCAGTCAATCAGCAATCAACAGATGTATAGATTTAGACCCGACCTATCAACCAATGGGAAAAATGATAAACAACAGAAAAGTCAGAGGTCAGGTAGGAGAACAGTCAACAGGAAAATCTACGGAGTCAGTCAATGACACGACAGTCAAAAGCAACAACCAATCACAAACCATTTCGTCAGGATAAGCTACTAAATCACTCGCGAAGAAATACTGACAGCTGACTTCATATTGAAGTTAATGCTGATGATGTCACTGTGTAGAAAGATGATGAAAGCCCCACGAGTAAACAACTCGGCTCATAAACCAATAATGCGCCAGTACCCAACTAACCAGTATCTTACCTACGTGTAAGTATTGATAACAAAAGATAACCACCGGTCCAGGAACTCGATGGTTGCTGATTCGAATCCCACCACAGTCAAAAGTTTCATTTCACTTTCAATCATCATCCAGTATTACAAGACAAATTATAAAACATGTGATGTGGTTAAACGTACTCAGACAAACAATGCTTTTATTAGTCAGAAGACTGTTTTATTTATCTGTCTATTAATGACTAAGCTAGGAACGCTTAGTTGCTGCCGACGAGGACAAGGAAGATGCAAAGTGATGAATGCCTTCACACTTAAAAACAATTTAACGAATTGGAGCCGACTGTTGATGCTGCAAAAGGTTACCCAACTGTTATTTAGAGGAGGGGAGGGATCCTGAAATTTGTTGAAGCCTTAGCTATTAGGAAGTTTAAACCACCTTTATGTATTCATAAACAATTTGTTGTCATATTAAACCTTCCTTGGTAAATTCAACTATTGAAAAACCAAGTTCGATGTACTATTATTTTTTCGCTCTATTGATTTTCATTGTTATTCGGCCTTTAATTCAGCCTGCCTACCTGACCTCTTTTTATTTTCTCACCCCTTATCTTCATGAGTTTTGATATAAATACCTATGACAAGTACGTGTGTGATCAGATAGTTCGAAATGTGTTGCGCACATTACACGGTTCAGACAATTTACGTCTTCTTATTGTTTTGTCGAAGTTTATAAAGGGGACTAATTGTTTTAGATATTTTAAGTTTTTGAGGCACTATTCATCATGGACTGACATCATTTAGAGAACCAATGAAAGTCTGTCAGCATTGAACAGCTGTTTTATGAGAGTATGAGACTCTTCGGTAGTACGTTCGCACAACCTGGCTAGAGACCAAACGCAGAACCTTTAGGTTTCATGGCGAACGCATTGACCACTTAGCCACTGGGTTGGAGTTCAGTGGTACACAGTTTTCAACTCCAGCAAATTTACGATACAGTTCGATTATCACCCAAGTTCTTTGGATGGCATCCACTTCTCTTCTGGCTCTGCCGACTGACCGCATAAATCATGGTTTTTAATTAGAACTTCATGATATCTGTTGGAAGTATATTACTTATGAGCATTATACAGTAGTGTATTTTGAGGTGAATGGAGATTGTTAATTGTTGAAATGTTTACGTGTTTATTTTAAGCCTAGCATTATTTTGGTGTCAAGAAGCTGCACTACATGATTAAGTCAAAGGAAAAGAAATCCAGGACCCATTATTTTGGTATTTGTATTCCTCAATGAATGTAAAACATTTCGCTATTTAGTGCTAATTTGCTGAATCTAAAAAAAGGCCTTCGATAGCGTCAACTCAGAAGTAATTTGGAAACTGCTTCAACACTTCAGAGTCCCACAAATCTTCATCAACCTCATTCAAAAACTATATGAGGATGCTATAAGCCAAGTGATTCACAACACAGTGGAAAGCTCAGTGATGCTTTTGAAGTGAAGACAGGTTGACAGGTAAGACAAGGTTGCCTACTATCACCGATCATCTTCCTGATTGTGGTCTACCGGATCATACAACAAACTGTGAGGAGACAGAAGGTAGGCACAAGCTGTTTGACCGATGAAAAGACCCTAGAAGGTTTGGATTTCGCCAGTGATGATTGACGTCCAAT